AAATGTCCCCGAATTTGATAGATGAGTGTCTGGAATTAGAAACCCCTAAACCATTAACCCATTGAAAATACGGTTCGAACCGCTATCCGGTCGGTTACCATAACCGCTGTTAACTCCCCCAAAAGTTCTCTTCTATCGACACGTATGAGAACCATCCTATCAAGTCCGACTTTTGAAAACCGCTCGCCAATTGAAACTACCCTTCACTATCAGAAACTACTTTTCATCCGACCTGCGGGATAACTACTTTTAATACCTGACCTTTGAACTTGGTCCGACTTCAATGTCCAACCTTCTTACGCCCGACCATTGGAATTTGTCCCGACTAGGTCTGACTTCTCTATTCGAACTATTTAGTCCCGACCAGATCCAATCTCATCATCCGTCCGACTTTCTTACATCCGACCCTCGGACTTTGTCCTGACTAGGTCCGACTTTAACGTCCGAACTATTTGGTCTCGACCAGGTCCAATCTCATCATCCGTCCGACCTTGGGGATTTACCCGACCAGGTTTAATCTTAACATCAGACTCTAAATTCATCCGACCCGGTTACTGCAATCATACTTGAACTTTCAAAAAGCCCCGTTTCAAATAACCTAATCTTGGCAGACCCATTCCCTGAAAACCTATCCATCATTTTTGTGCTAACACCTTTATTTTAGTAATCCTTTCCACAAACGATTTTTGCAACGTTTCTACAAAAATTTTAGATGGTTTAATTTTGATTATTTTTTGAACATATCCCTCCAACTTATTTTTTAAAAAATGAATTTATAATTTTATATAGAACGATAAAACAAGAAAATTTGTGCGTAAATTAAAAATATTATATATATATATATAAATTTTGAAACCTCTTAAATTAAAAATAATAGCAAAAAAGATAGAATAAATAAAGTGTCATATGCAATACTTATTTATTTTTATTCAAAATCACATTAAATAACTACTTTCACTTCAATATATAATATGAAAACTCAAAATCAATTCAAAACAAAAAAACCATTGCACGTTTGCGCAACATATAGCAGAATTGATTGTGTATATAAATATATAATGGTACTGCATTATATTTTTGAAGTTTATTAATTATATTTTTAAAAATATATATATATATTAATTTGTGGAAATAATAATTTGCATGTAGAGAAGGCAAGCTAGGGAGGCCTCATGTATTGCCCTCACTGCTAATTCATTTTTGATGAATCACTTATTTATTTCTAGAAAACCCTATATTACATACACTCAATTCACCTTTATACAAATATATATTCATTTCTAGAAAACCCTACACTACATGCCACATTTATATATTCATATGTATATATGTATGTATTTATGCGCGTGCATTCATTTGTCCACTCGACTCTATAGCAAACTTAGGGTTTGTTAATTTAGATCTGCGTTGTAGACATTTTAGTGTTTCCCAATGGTGAAAATTTTGAGTTAATAATATGTTTTTGGTAAAATATGGTGAATATGGATTAGATTTTAATATAATCTTTTCCATGGGCAATGAATATTTGATTAATAATGTAGAAAACAAGATCAATGTTGAAGCACAATTAAACAAACCCTTAATTAGTTCATTTTCAATTTTTTTTGTTGATGTAATATCATTATTGTTGGAAGTGTGTTAAGTTATGCACAACTTCTTCTTCTTTTTTTTTTTTTTTTAATTTTATTTTAATGTCATTAATTGGAAAAGTGTTAGTGTGTTTATTGATGGGAGTTATTTTAATTTAGTTTTTTGTTCTCATTTTTTTTACAATTCAAACATTTTTCAATGAATTATACATAGTTTTATTATACAAAATATTACTACATCTTCAACACCAATTTACTAAAAAAAAAAAAAAAAAAAAAAAAAACACACACACACACACACCAACTTTTTTAAAACAAAAAAACGTATCAAACATATTGTTGACGTTGAACAATAATTTAAATTTATTGTACGGTCAAGTATATTTCAAGATATTTTACCATTAACACTAAAGATTTTACTAAATTTAGTTAAATTTTGTTATACCGAATCAATAAGACATATTGATAATAATTTTTATGAATTAGATATGTATACCTAAATTTAAATATGCATAATTAATTCATGATATCATGAAGTTATATATCCACTCATTTATTATAATTTTAAGGCTAAGTTTGTTATGCTATTTATCTTCTCCTTATCTACACTAAAAAGTTATAGTGTTAATTAAATAAAGTCATTCGTTAAATTAAATTAACACATTTATGCCCCCCTCCACCCAAAAAAAAAAAAAAAAAGTCTTTTTACATAATAATAATAATAATAATAATAATAATAATAATAATGACGAATTGTGTTTTTAATCACACGTGACTTTTAAGCAGATTCTGTACATAATGGTAATTTGCTTATTAATTTTTGTAGCAAATGTAGTGTATACAAATAAAATATACTCTATAAAATATGTGGCTAAACACACACAAGTTTTTTTTTTTTTTTGTTATCGGAAATAAAAAAAGAAGGTTTTTTGTTATACTTAGGAGTGTTTTTACGAGAAAATGATATTTTGAAAGAAAAATAAAATAAATATTAAAAATAAATAGCAAAAATGGAAATATAAAGACTCTGTTTGTTTTGAATTTTCTATTTGATATATTTTTTAATGTTAAATATAAAAAAACATATGTTGGCAATATAGAAGAAATGATTTTTATATTAAATTACTGATTTTTTTATAAATATATATTATATATTTTATGTGAATATATTGTATTTTTTTAGTAAATTTAATAGAAAAATGTGTCAAAAAAAAATGATTGAATGAACATACACAAAAACAATATATAACTGACCATATAAATTTATTTTATTTTGTATAAATAGATATATATATTCATAGTTTTGTTACACAATATATTAATTGGTTCTTAATTAGTCTCGCATTCCATATTGAAATCTTACTAATACTAAGTTTACATACAATGATTGACAGTTTATTCACTACAATGATTGATGTTTCTATCACAATATATTTAATTATACACACATACACTTGATTTGAGATGTAAATTAAATTTAAAATTATGTCAGCCACTTATTATCAGTCAACTATTTAATTTAATGATTTTTTGTGTTTTATTTGAAATAATATTTATTTATATATTGTTTAAAATAATTTATTAATGTAATAGAAATTCAAGCCATGCTTGATCATTAGTACTTCTTTCCTCCCTATGTCCTTATTTCTCTTTTGATCATAAATTAAAAATTTATACATAATATATTTATAGTAAATAATTTTATTTATTTATAAATATTTAATAATTAATTTGTCACTATTTTTATTAATTATATAATAAAATTTTATATGATTTTATTTGTTCTACTTTAATATTAAAATATTATTAACTTTTTAATTTATATACCTAATCAAATTTATATAATTCTAGCTAATAGAATGAATACTATATATAAAATAATACTATTATTATAAAATTTTATTTATCGACATTGCATAATTAAAAGTAAACTGTAAAATATTTAATTAAGATTTTTGTAAACCAAGGCATCTAAAATATTTACAATAGGATTTTCAATGGAGAATAAATTTGAAGATTTTTTGTTTAAAATATTTTATTAGAATGAATAAGAGTGTCCACGTCATCAATATGATAGGTGGGTTAAGTGCCGCCCATGGTTGCATTGTTGCCTTCATTTCGTTTTAATAAAAGCTTTTTATTAATGGGATTGATTATCTATCTACCCTATTCTCGAATTTTTATTTTTTATTTAATTACTATTGTTTTTGTTGTTAGGAATAATAATAATAATGAAAATTTGTTCATGAATATGTAAATGATTGATAATTATGTAAGAGTAAATAAACGGGGGTTTTATACTATGGTGTTCTTTTGGTACATTTTTAATTATTAGTATCAATATTATCTAAACAAGGTCCAACGAGCTTAATCAAACCTAATACGCATTCGAAAAATAAAATTGGCTAATGAACTGAATTCGAACATTACAAATAACAAGTTCGAATGACAAATAAGCACAAGCTTTGTGCGCAAACATTAACAAATCAACACAAACATTTAAAATTTTGTTCATTTGGTTTGTTACATAAATATAAAAAGTATTATCTCCGTCTACTTACAAAGTATAAATATTTTTATTTTTTATTTTTTGTTCAATTATAAAATAATTATTTCAAAAATACCTCATTTATTTTTAAGTATCCCTACTTGACCATCAAATTATTATTTTTTACATTAAAGACAAAATTGTCTTTATACTACTTTTTTTTAAAAAAAAAAACTTTCTACTATAATTAAATACTACTATTATTTTTTAAATTTCACACCAAAAGTAAAATTGAACCGAAACAGTATATAATAACCATCTCCCGAATATAAATTAACAAAGTTTACAACAAAAACAGTCACTATTCACATATTTCTACTTATCTATAAATGTGAGAATATGAGAAGATTGCAAGGTTTATTATTGAATTGTTTTAATTTTTTTACTATAGAATTCCATAGTTTTCAATATATATTGTTATACAAAATATCTCACATATATGCCACACTAAAAAGTGAAATTTAAAATAATACTAATAATAATAATAATAAAAATAATGAACTAGTAGGATACTATTTGTCGATACATAATACAAGACGATTAGATGAATCCATGCATGCCCCTAAGTCCCTGGAATAATGCTGTCTGTCACACCCACATAATAAAATCTAAATTTATATACATATATTCTGGAATTAAATGCTTTCATTACGTAGGCACCACATCGAAATAATTTATTTATTTATTTAAATATTTATTTTGGCTACTGTTTCCCTCAATTCCCCCAAGCATAAATAACATAATATTATGGCCTTTAGCAATGCCAACAAAACCTTTGGAAATACTTCCCAAGTGTTTTCCTAACTTAGTCACTACATTACTCCAATCTTTCATTTTCATTTAAACTCATTTTTTTTTAGAGCATGGATGGCAGTACCTGCAGCAGTTACCGTTCGGGCTCGGGCTCGGGCTGGGGCTGGAATCGAATAGCGTGGCGGATGCGGGTGCACTCCGCCTTTAGGGCGGCGATGGCATGCGCCATAGTGGCGGCAGTGGCGATCTACGGCCCAAAACCAATCGCAGACCAGATTAAGTTTGCGGCCTTCTCGTATCTAACGGCTGTGATCATCGTGCTGCCGGGGGCGACGCTTGGGGACACGTTGGGGGGCCTCTGGCACACGTTGATCGCCACGGTGCAGGTGGTGCCGCTGTCGATGCTGGGGCGGTGGGCGGTGACCGGGCGGGAGATGGGCATTGGCGGGGCGGCGGTGGCGGTGGCGATCGCGGCGTTCCTGGTGGCGCTGCCGGAGTCGACCCACATCACAGCCAAGAGGATAGCGTTCGGGCAGATCGTGATCGTGTGTACGGACGCAGTGCAGAGCGGCCCCGAGCACCACACTCCTTACATGCGCCCCGTGTACGTCGCCGCCAGCACAGCATTGGGCGCCGTGGCTTCAACCTTGGCGTTGCTCATACCGTATCCCGACCTCACCTGTTACAAGGTACAATCCGATATAATCTCAAAGTTCGTAACGTTCAATATTTTTAACATAACCCATAGAAATCTAACGCACCGGATCCCATCGGAACTCTAAAATTACAAAAATATAATACTTTCGATATTTCTATCTACTAAAACTGAATTATTGCTATAAGAGATTCTCTAAGTTCACTGTATAGTCCCATCAAATCCGAGTCCGAAATCTAAAGGGAACAACAACTAGATGCAAGAAGTAGTATTATTAAAGCAAAAGGTTCTAAATGTTCTTTATCATAAAATCGTATATACGGCAAGAATTAAGATCCTAGCCATGCTGCAAGTGCAAAGACACCATTACTAGTTGCTTAATGGTTTGGTATTTTACTCGCAGATGCAAAAACTAGGCCGTGTATACGGCAACAATGCTTCCCAGAGAATGAATTTGTACCTGAGGGCGTTAGGTGCTCGGGAGACTCGTACTAAGAGGGAGCTTCTATCTCAAGCCAAGCCGTTGGCAGAAGCAGGAGCCAAGATTCTACAGAGTGTAAGAAATCTACAGGTAATATATCCTGCGAATTCAAGAATATTGGTTAGTGATTATCATAAGTAGAGAATCTGTAACAGCCAAGGAAGAACTTTTGCGATTTCAGGAAGGGATGCAGTGGGAGAAACTAGCTTGGAGGCAATATTCCAAAGCAGATTTGGCAGATAAGTTGAATGCCATCGATCTACAGCTGAGAGGAATCGGTCATTCCCTGGATTCCACTTCTGATTCGACTGTTGAAGTAATCCATCAAGAAATGCTCTCCGACTTCCTAAAGAGTGTATCATCACAGGTTGAAAGGAAAATAGAGCAGATTAGATGCTTTTCACCATTTCAATCAACAAAAGAAGTCGAAACAAGAAGGGTAGAAAAGCTGCAATTACCGAGCGAGTTATTCCAGCCAACAGCCAAACACGGTTGGGTCTTTTTTTACTTCTCCTGCATAGATATGCTGCTGAAAGACGATGCAGATAATTCTGGAGCCTCAACAGGACAACAGAATCACAATGGAAAGGCCAAGTCTAGCATCGTTGCAGCACTTAAAGCTTCGGTTCTGAAAGTTCTCAGCAAGGAAAAGCTTGAATTCGCCTTGAAATGCTCGCTTTCTTTGGGCCTGGCAGTTCTGTTCGGTTTGATATTTGACAGACGGAATTCACGCTGGGCAGGTCTCACAATCGCCATCAGCTTTGTCACTGGTAAGCAGGCGGTCTTTACGGTCGCAAACACACGAGCACAAGGGACAGCTATCGGATCAATCTACGGTGTCATATGCTGCTTTCTGTTTCATTATGAAGTACTGAAGTTCTTGGCAATTCTCCCCTGGGTCATATTCTCCAGTTTTCTCAGATACAGCAAAATGTTCGGCCAAAGCGGTGGAATCTCTGCAGCCATAGGAGCATTATTAATCCTAGGCAGAAAGAATTACGGGTCTCCAAATGAATTCGCCCTTGCCCGAGTGACAGAGGTTTTCATCGGCCTGTCGGCGTTCCTTCTGGTCGAGCTTTGTGTGCAGCCAATCCGAGCTGCAGAATTAGCCAAGAATCATCTCTGCACAACACTAAACTCTCTTCTCAATTGCACGAAAGAAACACGAGCTTGCCTAGCACAGAGCAACCAAACAGTTTCAAAAATTAATGAATTGAGAGAGAAGCACAGAGACCTTCATTACCAAGTCAATGAACTAAAAAAAGTGATTGCAGATGCAGAGAACGAGCCTGATTTTTGGTATTCGCCTTTCCGGGTTTCTTCCTACCTGAAGTTGGCCGGATCATTATCCAAAACAACAGATTTATTGTACTTTATCATACACAATTTCGAACTACTTGCAGAACAATCAAAGAGCAGCAACATGATCAAAGAGTTCTACCAACACATAAATGGGAAATTGGAACTATGCGAGGAAACGATTACCTTGTCATTGCAATATCTGCAGAAGGTCAATTCGATTGAATCCAGTGAAGACTCCCAAGGAAAGCCGGATCAGCTCAGGGACCTTGAGATGGGGAAGGTACAAGATCATGAAAACCAAAGCAATACAATCGCAGAAAACAGTGCAGCAGCAATAAACAACGAAGGGGACAGTGAGTGCGATAAAGAACTTACAGAAAGAATCATCCAATGTCTGAGTGCAGCAACATTTTGCTTTAGTGCTTTCATGAAAGAAATTGATGAGATCGAGATTAGCATAAGAGAATTGAATTGAAGAATCAATCATTCACAAACACTTAGTCGGTTATGAATGTATATGTATGAGAGGAATTTCTACAACATCAATCACTTATGTATATGTATGCCTACACATTGCAATATAAATCCATCAAATCAAACAGATTCCAACTGCATATATCAAAGAGTCGTTCATAATTGCATTATATTAATACAGACAGCTATAATCAAACTTTTCTCTGCATATATATGTGAAATATGCAAAATCATCAACTGCTTACATAATGCCATAGATAGAAGCACTTATCAATCAAGCTTAGCATCTGTGAATGTAACCAGCACCGTGTTCAAGAATGGAGGCAAAATTTCAAAAAGGTAACCATGAAGAATAACAACATCACACTCTACAGACCAGAAGCAATAATCAATCAATGACAGAAATTCCTCTCCCTGATTGAGAATAATATCTAAAATTACTTCATAAATGAAACAGTGGATGAAATCTTACATTGGCAACCAAAACGCAAGACATGGAATTCAATGAAATCGACGAAACCTTGATGGAACCAACACAGTGATGAACATACAAAATTCATCAATGCAGATAGGTAACAGGTACAAATTCACCAGATAAATCTCATTCTCAAATCACCCATAAGTAAATCCATATTGTCAATAAAACAGAACCGAGGTGAAATTCAAAGTAATTAGGTTAATCAGACAAAACTAATGTGAGAAGAATCCAATTCTGCTTTCATGAAAACATAAATCCGAGTACAAGTGCATCGAAGGACAACTGAAACCCCAATCCTTCTAACCAAGTTTTCACGACATTTACATTCAGAAGCGCTAAATCAAAGGTCGAACCACAAACGAAGACCTAACCACCGAATCCGTACAATGTCCGGCCTTGCCTCTTCAGAGCGTAGACGACATCCATCGCCGTGACGGTTTTCCGGCGAGCGTGCTCCGTGTAAGTAACCGCATCACGAATCACGTTTTCCAGGAAGATCTTGAGGACGCCGCGAGTTTCCTCGTAGATAAGACCGCTGATACGCTTGACGCCTCCTCTCCGAGCCAAACGGCGAATCGCCGGCTTCGTGATTCCCTGGATGTTATCCCTCAACACCTTGCGGTGCCGCTTGGCTCCTCCCTTTCCCAAACCCTTGCCACCCTTGCCACGGCCCGACATTTTTGGGAGCTGCTGATGAGAAACTTGGATGGGATTCTCGTGAATTGTCAATCTGAGCAAAGATGACTGCGGAGGATGGAAACTGGTGGCGGAAATATAAAAGAAAAGCTGGGAACCGGAAACAAATATCCACCGTCAGATCTAATGTTTAATCGACGGATGTGATTCGTAATCCGCGGTTAATTATTTTGGGCTCTTGTAGACCGTTGATGAATGGGTCTATCTAGATTGGTCGGATCATGTCACTTTGCGCACTTCATTTAGATTTGGTTGGTGTTTGTTTGAGTTTGAATTTATTTATTTTTTAATATTAATATTTGATTTAATAAGTTTGTTTATACCATCTCTAACCGGACAACTTCAATTATACATTTATAATTCTAAATATACAGTTGTTACGTTAATTTAACTCTGATCCACAACTCTATTTTCAACTCCAAAAAGAATATTTCCTAAATATTCTATCTTATATATTATTTTATATAATTTTTTATATTAAAAAATATAAATATATACAATTAAAATATAAAAAATTACAGATTAATTCTTATAAAGACCAATTTATAATTTGCAAAAATTAAAAAACTCTAAATTTGATGTTGCACTGTAACAAACACAAAAAATAGTGTTAGGTATGGAGTTGAATTGAAGAGGTAAATCTTCATATTTGGAGCTGCAACCTCATTTTTTAAGTTGCATTGAAGATGATCTTACTTTTGATTTAAAAGTAAAATTAGTTAGTTTATATTTTCAATAAAATAAAAATTTTATTAAAATACTTATAAGTTATAATTAAAACATAATAAATTTAATATTTTGTAGAAAAAATTATTTGTTTTTATTGAAAATTATTTAAGTTGAATAATAAAAAAAAAAAACTTATTCGAAATCAAAACCAAATAAAACGTTGATTTTTTAGGTGTGGTTTTTTTATTGTATTTTTTTTAAAATATTGATTTTTGCTTTTGGGTTTAATAATTAATTGATAATAATATGGAGCGCCGTTTTTCTCTCCAAATGTTATGATAGGTAACTTGTGCTGACAGTAGAAATATTTGTGTGGAACGTTAGCTCCCTACTAATTAAAATGGACGATAATGATATTTTTAAAAGTTATTAACTGTTACCAATTAAACTTATAAAATACCAACTAGATTTCTTTGTAATCAATCATACATTCAATCACTTATATTTCACCTACAACAAATAACTGACAACAATTGTTTTCTGTCAAGTTTCATCCTACAATTAAGAACTTCTAACAGAAAATGGAGATCATGCATTTTCCTTATGCCTTGAACAAATATTATCAATTACTGAGAAACTATCTTTACCGTAAGATGATGGACTATATTTGTAGTACATAATATCTTTTTGTATTATCAAATAAGTGTTTCAATAATTTTAATGAGAATGCAAAAAATTAATATTATGCCACAAATTATATATCAAATATAATTTAAAAACTTTTAAATGAGAAAATATCAATTGAGAATAAATATTAACTAATTATTAATAGTATTGATATTATAAAATTAATTTAGATAAATATGAATTTGTAATATATTAATAAAAATAAAATGAACTCGTAAATTTAACAAGCCAGACGCGCCGGTCCTTAATTAAATTTAACAGCCGAATTAATTAATTTTTTTTATTATCTCAACTCAAATAATTAATGCGATTGATTAATTAATTAATTGATGATTGTATTGAATTTTTAACAAATAAACACACACAAACCCAACCAAGGTAACTCCCATTTACAAACCCTTAATTATTATCCATCTCTCTCCCTCTCTTTAATTTTCTGGAGATTAGCTCTTCAGTTTTCTAACCTCACAAATCTATGATTATTATTATTTCCTTTTATTTTGTGCATTTGGGGTGATTTATTTGGAAAATTGTGTTGAAATTTCTAATCTTGCAAAAGAGAATGTACAAATTAATTTAAAATATTCATTTTTAATAAATTGGATGGGCCCGACATCGTTCATCAGTCATGCGGGACTAGTATAGTCAGAAAATTTAAATTAAAGAATGGGAGTTTTGATCAAATCAATCAATAACTAAATGAATGCAATTGAATAATTCTCATAATTATCAATAAAATAAATTAATTAATTATAAACATAAACAAACTCTAGTTATATTTGCTTTTGTGAATATTTGCAGTTTAATTAGTTGCACTTTGTTAGCAGTTCCAAAAAAGAAAGAATGAAATTGATAATGGATCCTTTAATTTAGAAAGTGGTCAGGAGTGAAATAATTACATTCTTCCATATAATAAGGGAAAGAAGAAGAGTTGAATTGCCACTTTTTTGCTTTCTTTTTCTTTGTGATAATATATACATATTATATGATAAGTATTGTAGTATTTGTGTGTAAAGTAGAAGAAGAAGAAGAAGAAGAAGACGAAGACGATGCAGGCTTGATGTAGTGCTGGCAACAAAGTGGGGATTAACTTATAGTTTTTACTTTTCATTTATTTATGATAATGGTAGATTTGTTTAATGGATTAATTAATTAAAAAATGGTAGCTTTGGAGGCGTGGCTTGCTTTTGTTGGAGAATCCACGTTCAAAATGGCTCCATGTTTTCATGCCCCACTCTTTTTCTTTTATTTATTATTATTTTTTAAAAAAAATTATATTATTGTTATTATTTTATTTTTTTTTCATTTTTAGCACTTATCACGCATCAGTGGATTCCAGGTCTCTTCTTTTATTTGGGATCATGAAACAATTTTACGATAATAATGTATGAAATGAGCACTATTTGCCAGTGCTTGTTGATTTTGTACTCTTCTTTGATATTTTTTATTGGAATTGAAATTGGCCTTTCGAGTATAATTATTTGTTATGCAGCCGTTTAAATTAATTTTACTGTGTGTAACGTTTGAGAGATTTTTCCATAAAGATATTATTCATCAAACACTTATTTTTAATTTTCTATATTATAAAAAAAATTAATTTTATATTTAAAACATCACATCAACAACTATTTATATGATATCGTATAATTATTTCAATTTTAAGTTTTTACTATTCAAATTTCTAACTCAAAATTCAAACAAACACACTGAATGAATGTTTTTTTCTAATATGACAATTTGTATTATTAATATAAAAAATAATATTTTACATTGAATTATTAACTTTTTATGAGCTGATAAATTGTATTAATATATATATATATTGTATTTTTTAATAATATTTATAGAAAAAATTTTCGTCAATAGACAGCGAGTAAACAAACTCATCATCATGTAATAAAACTTTGGTTTGGGTTTTGTTTTGTTTTGTTATTTTATTTTATTTTTAAACTGTAATTTGATGCATGATTCATTAAGCTACTATTTTTTTCAAGAAAATAGTTATAGTAAATAAATTTTCTTATAACAAAATGATGCTCACTTAGAATATCAAGATATTGAATGTCACATTGTTTTTTGTTATTATTTCATGTTTGAAACATTTTTATAGAGACAAATCGATTTTTTATTACTAATTGTTATTCATTATTTAAAATATTTCCAAAAGGAGATTGATATTTTGAATTATTGTGATAGAATTTATTCTCTTTATTATTTTTTTAACAATCCAAGAATTAAAAAAAGAATAGATGAGCAGCATCTAATCATGTTTTTGGTCTCTCTCACTTAATACAAAAGTATTAATATAAATATTTAGGCAGTCCTATTCTACTAATGCCAAAGCTATTCTCTCTAATCCCAATTTTTTTAATAAAAAGAACAAAACTCAATTATGCAACAGCATGGATACATACATACATACATACATATATTAATAAAATAATTAATTCAGAAACAAAAATAAAAGTTGTGTAAAGCCCATTACAATAAATAAATACTCGACTCGATTGCTCTGTTCCCTCGCCTCCAAACAAAGCCCTAATTAACCCTCTGTACAAATAATAATAATAATTATAAGAGCAAAATATAAATACTTATCCAATACTGGAAAATAAAATATGAATTTGTGGTGTACAGAAGATCCTCTTCTTCTCTGCACACAAGATTCTTTCAGGTGGTAAAATCATGCCCCATTATTTTTCTTGCTTTACCCACACCACACTTGTCTTTAATATATTTTATTTAATATATATATATATATTTATATTCCATTATTACTTATACAAGTAGTATTCTCTTCGTCCCGCATATCATGTCCACGTTGTTATTTCTATCCGTCACATATTCCATATTATTTTTTTTAAAAAAAAAATGATTACACATTTTAATCTCATTTTAAACTTTTTAATTATTTTATTTAATTTTTAATTTTAATTAAACTAATTAGTTATCTTATAGGATAATTATTTTTACTAATACATTTTTAATTATCTACTAATTACACATCTCATAAAATACTGTATCTACAGTGTAGCAGACACGCTATTACGAGACTGATGAAGTATTTTATTACTCAATTTTATCCATTAAAATTAGTTCATTTAGGTCAGACAAAAATAATATTTTATTAAAAAAGTGATAGGTACTTGGAGATATATTTTAAAATTTAGATAAAAAAAAATGAAGTATATAAAGATAGATAATGTAATAAACTCATTGATATTTGTTGTAAATAAGTGTTAGAATTGAGGGTCATAATTAAATATTGATTTGTTGGTTTTGCCAAAATTAGTAATAAAAAAAAAATCGTGAGAATAAATAGGGAATATCATTTTAAGTTAATTCGCTAAATGTATTAGTAATTTTGCGAATAGAGTGTTGATTGAAGGTGAATAATTTTTATATAGTACAATAAAATGATATGTTATATAGAAGTATGTATGTAATTCATATTTTGTATTTTTATATAAATATTCTTATTTTGCTGAAATGTTACTTAAAATTATATTATATGGCATTGGAATATGTGTTATATATATATATATTGTATTATTATATATTGTTATTGCGTTAGCACATATGTGTTGATTTCATTCAATTAGCATGAAAATCGAAGTCTTCTATGTTAATATACTGACTAATAATAATAATAATAATAATAATAATAATAATAATAATAATAATAGTATTTGGTGAACATATTGTGGTCAAAATAACATAATTTTGACTATCATTATCTACCAACACCTACTGCAATATCATAATTTCAGAGAAATTTTGTATGACAGGGGAAGGAATCATTTGTCTCTTTTGGGATTAGTTATGAGGATTACATCAAATTAGGTTCTCCAATTCATTAATCTAATTTATTTATTTTATATATATGGCAAGGGATTTTAGTCTAAACTACACTCTCTTTCCATTTTGTTTTGTTGTTTGTTTGTCTTCTTTAGTGATTTAATTTTCACCTCGTCTTTAAAAATAGTTGTTAAAATTTAATATTTTATTTAAAAAATTCGACGGTAATATTTATAATTAGTAGAATGCATGGTGGCTTTCGACCATTGCTGCAAAACACACATATAATGAATGATTCCATAAAAGTATTTAAAGATCGTTTTTTTATTAATAAAATTGATTATACTAAAGTTGGTGGTATCTTATTAATTTATTTTATTTGGAATTTATGATTGAGGGTTTGAATGGTCAAGAAGCTATGATTTGGTCTTCATATGAAGCATAGGATACCATCCGTTGATCCCTCTTTTGCCTTTGCATCATTGCCCTTCATTTTTTTCTTTTTTTTAAAATAGGTGTTTTTCGCTACATTTATTAATATTATTTTTACATATGAATTTAAATTACTAGGCTCTGTTTGAAGTATAATAATGCCTTACTTGCTGAACGTATTATTATTTATTGGAATATAAAAAGACGAATAATTGAAGCGATGTGAGATGTATTTTAACTACCAACAACTAATATACATAAAATATGTGTATATATATATATATATATATTTGGGTATTCAATAACTGTCACGTTTTATTTTATATTTATAACTAAATCACTCTAATTTTATTTTACAAGCATTCAATTCATAATATGGACGTGTTTATTCAATTTTTTTCTCATGGTATGATTCTAAATGGATATTACAAAAAATACAATATATATACATATTAATACGAATAAAATATATAAGATAAACTGTTTTTTTAGTTCTGTAACTTACCCTTTTATCATTTTAGTCCCGTAAGTAGAGTTTGTCGCAAATTAGTTCCATAAGTAAAAACTTTTCGTTGTTTTAGTCCTCCGGCGGAGGTGACGTGTCCGCCAGGTGTCGTTTTATTCTTTTTTTCATTTTTTAAAATTTTTTAAAAAACTTATTTTTAATTTTATTTGATTTTTTTATTTACTCCAATTTTTTAAAAAAATTAAAACAATTAAAAATAAATAAATAAATCTACGTGTCCGCCAGGTGTCGCTGACCTGGCAGGACACCTGGCGGATACGTCACCTCCGGCGAGCCACGCGGACATCTTCAGCACCGGAGGACTAAAATAACGAAAATTTTCCACTTATGAAACTAATTTGCAATAGACTCTACTTACGGGACTAAAATGATAATGAGGTCCAGTTACAAGACAAAAAAACAGTTTACAGTAATATATATTGTGCTCCCTCCATCCCGCGCCACAGATGACCCTTTTTTTTTTTTGTCCGTCCCATTAAAGATGATCCATTTCTATTTTTGGTAAATTTATTCATCTTAAACATATTTAACAAATATAAATCAATTTAATTAAATTTCTAACCTTTTAAGCATAGGATCCACTTAAAACCCATTTATTTCTATCTCTCTCCTCAATAAATAAATATTTTTATCTATATTTAAAATTTCTTATTTTTAATAAAATTAGTTTTAAGTTAATTATAAATAAATAAATTATTATTTTTATTTATTTGTATTATATAAAATTTTATTCTCAACAAATGATATCCATATTGTATATATTTTATTGATATATAATGCTAAAAATATTTAAAATGCCAACAACACTACTCATATAAAAATAATAAAATAATATCATGACTTATTATTAATAATTTACTAATCTCTCCTACCTAAAATACCATGTCCTTAAGCAAATGAATCATCTTGACAGGGACATAGTGAGTATATATTTAAAGATAAATAAATCAACAGTTCTATTAAAAATATTATATTTATATTTTTCATACGATTTTCTAGCCAATATAAAAACGTACATTCATTCAATATACATTACACTAATCTAACAATCATATTTTATAAATGTGATATATGAAAATTGATTATATCTGTAGATCAATGGTAATAAATGTTGGAGATATATAATATTGTGCTTACATTTACGTATTAATCTTAATATAACCTTTATATTGTTGATTTATATTTTATATTTTATATATTTTCAGTATGATTTTGATCATAATATCACTTAACAGCGTATTCTAATTCCATTGTACTATCAAATCTCAGCTAAATCAGTCTGTTTATTAAAAAAAAGTGTATATTTATTTTTGCCATTTTTTTTCCCCCTTAAAACTATAAAATTTTGTTGTTATTATTGAAAAGATGTTTATTTTATTGACAAAAATTGAGTTTGTTTATTTAACCACTATTTTACTAAAAAAAAAAAAAACACAAAAAGAGATACAGCAATATACCCAAAAAAAAAGATATTAAAAAACATAACCAACCCTAAATTACAGTGAAAAGAACAAGATCGGCCATTGCCATTGGCATTGAAGGCGGAAGGAATCAATTGTTCAGTTGTCCTTCGTCTTCATCAGCATCATCATCCACAATTGCGGGCGGGCGGAGGGGCCCAGTTCCCACAGAGTGCACGCACGCAAAGGAACCCCCAATTGGGTTGGGTGGGTGATTGCTCACACGCTCGCCGCACCAAACCAAAACCAAAAGATTTTCGATTTATTGTAATCAATCCCACTGGACTGTCCCCTCCCCTCCCTCGGCGTGACGAATCTCCATCCATTCCCATCCATCCCCTTTTTTCTTCTCTCTCTCTCTCTCTATATAGCAAGCACTTGGAGGGGGTTGTCTTTCCGCCACTCGCATTTTATATTAATCCCCTTTCTCTCTCTCTCTCTCTCTCTCTCTCTCTCCTCCGCAGGAAGAATTCCTAATTGGCTTAGGGTTTGTTTCTGGCTTTCTGCTTCGGCTCATCTTTCATGTATTGTGAGTATTATAATTATCAACTTCGTCTCCGTTTGTTTTTATGTGGATTGCTTTTGCTGTTTGCTTCTCTGGTAGCTCTTGAGATCTCGCGGTTTGATTTTATGCTTAGATCTGTATTATTCTCTGTGATTTATGGCTTTAGATGCATTCCAACTTGAAGTTGCACTCCCAGTTTTTTCTGCTCTCTTCTCCTTCTTCTTCTTCTTCTTTCCGATTTATTACAAAAATGTTCTGTGTCAATGATTTAATTGTTTTGAAGAATTTCAGCACTCAGTCGAATCATGTAAAAATTTTGTTACAGACACATATGCTCTGCTCTATGAATCTTTCTGGTAATTGTATCTGTTTCATTGCTGAGAAAATGGTGGATTATATTGCCTGTGACTGCAATCTTAATCCATTAATGGTTGCATCTAATTTAGACTAATCTTTGTTTGAAGACATTCAAATTAGGCTGTAAAATTGGATTTAGGATTCCTTTTTAGAGTAATCCTTTAACCTTTTCTTGGCTTGAAGACATTCAAATTAAGCTTTAAAATTGGATTTAGTATTCTTTAGGGTTGTGTTTTGGAGGTGTTCTTGACTCTTTGCATCTCGTTCATTCGCAGGAAGCCTTTCGAAGAAGACGATAAAAGTGGCAATCAATCAGTATGCGGTGGTACAGTCTATCTGTCGATGTTTTCCGTAAAGTCATCCCTCTCAACCTATACTGCCATGTGATTCTGTAAAAGCTCGATTCAAAAGTCGTGTTATATCCATAATCATCCTCTTTATAGCTTTCCTATAACACCTATCAGCACCTCTCTTCTTCCATGGGATCCACTCGTTTCGTCGTTGTTCCTTGCTATGTTCGCTGGATAAGCTAAAGTTTTAAACAATCTCCGTAAACCCCTCAAGTTTCTGATTGCATTTTTCCTAAATTCCTCGGATTGCAATTGTGTGTTTTTGACCTTTCGGCTTGTGAGGTTTCTTGTGAAAAAGTCGGGTGTTTAGTTATATATATCAGAGTTCAGGAAGAGTAGTTATGGTGTGCCAAGCAGCTAGCCAAACACGATTTCGAGCTTTGAAACACGAGAATGGAATCGATGGTTGTGCCACCATAATAGTTAGAGTTATAGCATGCTTTCAACCCCTCCAAGATTGCCAGGTCAGCTGCCTTCGAATTGACTTTTTTAATTGTTTGCACATTTTATGTTTAGAGAATTACTAATCATGTTTTCCGTTTGTGTATTTCAGGCAGAGTATTTTCGCCATCTTCTTAAACCCGTGACGTAGTTTGTTTGTTTCATTTCCCGTGGTTTCAATTTAAATTGATTTCCTTTCTAGTTTCTGTGTTGCGCGCAAAGATACAACGAAGCAATCAATTCTTAGGTATGGTTATTATTCCATCTGATATCTTATGTTGTAATGAAGTTTTATCATTAATTCGGTTTTATGGAGTTTTTGTTTTTTTTTTTCTGACAGGTCATTCTCGAGCTTAAACAGAAATGGACTCCGGATTCGGGTTTCATCATCAAAATCTTGACTTATTTGGGTTTCCTTTCGACACGGGCGATCCAAATGCTTGTCCCAGTTTCGGGAATCCTTACCTTGTCGAGGATACATTTCTGAAGAACACCGGTTCGTTTCCGATATCCGGATTCCATCAATTTAGGGCAAATATATCGAATGATCCACAAAACTGGCTTAACCGAATGCCCTATTTCCCGGAGTCGAATTCTTCCATGAGCCCATTCGATATTGGACAACCGATAAGTCCTAAAACGGTCGATCTGCCAGCTCAGAAGAGGTTTATTGTATTTGATCAATCCGGCGATAAAACAGCCTTGATATGTACCTATGGAGTTGTCAAGATTCCCGCTCAACTCGAACCTTCTTGGTCTCCGAAACCTTCGAAAAATCATCCCCGGGATAGCATTCATCCTTTATCTCCGTTGCTGGCTGACGGGAAAGTAGACGAAGAAGATCGACGAAATCGTTCGGAAGACGAAATGCATGAAGACACCGAGGAACTGAATGCCCTGCTTTGTTCCGACAGTGATGTTTCGGAGGACGACGAGGAAACGAGCACCGGCCATTCCCCCAGCTCGATGACTGATAATTACGTGCACGGTTTGGTTGAGGAATTCGGCGAAGAAGTCGATAGTTTCTCTGGGCCTACAAAAAGATCGAAGCTTAACAATGGAGAGTATCCTGCGACATCAAACGATCGACATACGAGCCCTTTGAGAAAAACTCCGGTGTGGTTGTCGTTGGAATACGATAACGATGCCCAGTCCAGCTGCGGAGACAGGTCAAATTCTTCGTCGTCTGGCGGGAAAAGATCGAGGAAGGAGAAGATACGCGAGACTGTGAGCATTTTACAGAGCATAATTCCTAGCGCTAAAGGGAAAATAGCGATTGACGTTATCGACGAGGCGATAAACTATTTAAGGTCTTTGAAGGCCAAGGCTTTGGGGGTCGATCCGGTTTGACGCCGTTTAAGGTATGGATGAGGTATTGTCTGAATAAGTTGTTTCGTGTACTTTATAGAATGATAGGGATCGGGGACATCGAAGCGTCGAAGTCTTGTCTTCAATGATTGGATTGGAGACGAGTAGTTTGCGTTTGGTGTTTGAATAGTTCTTGCATTGTCTTTGTCAGGACAATGCTTTCCCAAAGCGGGCGATTGATGGATTCGATTGCTTTAAGACGTGTGGTATTTACGAGACTTTTGATTGATGATAGTTTGGTAGGGTCCCGGCGACGAAAAAAGAGTTGTGTGTGTGTGTGTGTGCGTGTACGCACGATATGACGTCGGTGAGGTTGCCGCGATCTTGTGGCTTTGGGAGCTCAGCAGCTCTTTATTGTGTGGGCTTCATTGTTTGTTTGTTTGTTTGGTTGGTTGTCTTGTGACAGACAGCCTGTCTGTTTTCTATCTTCTTTGTTGTCGCTGTTGTTCTACTTCTACAGGAGTCTTGCTGGATTACGACGTCGTTTGGATGATCTTGATCTTGGGTGGCTTTTATGTTTGCTGGTTTATTACGTAGTGGTAGTTTTGTGTAAGAAGAAGTATGAACAACCTTAGCTAGTTATTGAGGTTGTTGCTGTTTGTTTGTTTGTTTTTATTGAAATGTTGTGTAACTTTAGTGTGGTGGTGATTTTGCCTTAAGGTTTCTTTTCTGTATCTTATGGGTCTATTTTATTTTTAATATTTTTATTTTATATTATACTCCCACCGTTGCCGTTCAGTCACTTTCCTTTTTCTCTTTTTTTTTTTTTTTTTTAAAATATGATTACACACTTCAATCTCATTTTAAATTTTTTATATATATTTTTTTAATTTTAATTAAATTAATTAGTTATTTTAATCTTAATTTATAATTATTTATATTATATAATAATTATTTTCATTAATACATTTTTAATTATCTACTAATTACACCCTTCTTACCTACCGTGTAGGTAAATATTTATTTATTTACAATAATTTAAACGAGTTTTATAGGATATTAGGAATTTAAATTAAATTTACTAAAAATAAAAGCTAAGCATCTATTCAAACAGTCTGCAATTTTTGAATGTACATAGAGGTATATGAAAAATAAATAATAAATCAAAGGGACATTGGTTTCATAAATGCAAATAAATAAATTTAAATGTGGACAAAATATCCAAACCATGATATTGGTTAATTTAATTCATCATCAATTTTCAGTAACAATGTATATTTGATATTTTATTATTTTGTTCCGATTTCGATTTTCTTCAATCAAATAATTTGCAAATATTTTTGGTTAATCAAATATACAACCGTGTCCACCCCTAAATAAATTGCACCTATGTTATGAGCCAATGCTTGTGAATTAGACAAAATTAATTATAAATCCAAAAGACAATTTTTTCTTTCTCACACAACATACATCAAATACTAAATTCAAACGTTACTAATCAACAATTATTTTTCACAAAACTATCACATCAAATATCAAATTTTCTATTATTCTTAAAATTTTCCCAACCTAAAAACTTCTATAGGTTAAGCCTAAAATGTTTTCACAAAAGCAGAGCGGCCAAGAAAGAGTACACAATACTAACGATGCATTTCCAACAGTATCATAAGCTTATTACAAAGCAAATTTAAGTCAACTGCAAGAATATTACCATGAGATAACAGAACAAGTTTAACTCCAAGTTCAATTCAAACAACAATCTCACCTAAAAGCTTAATATAACAAAGGTGCATTAATCTATAGGCTCCAATTTAGCATATTTTTGTTAGGCATCAATTTGTAGGTCAACATCAAACTACAACTGAAACTGGCAAGAAAATAGATCATATTTAGCATAAAGAAACTCCATGTAACAGGCACATAATTTAAATATAACAGTATAGAAATGCTTTGTCACAACTAAACATAAAAATCGATTTTAACATTCAATCGAAGCAAAACAGTCATTCTTAATTTCTTGAAAGGGGTAAAATCGAATCCTCTTACCTAGTTAGCACGGCTCTTGATAACATCGAGCCCCATTTCAGTTGGGTCGGTCGCTTGTAGTTCAACTTGAATACCATCTAGCTCCCTCTTAAATCGATCCTTGGAGCTAGCGTAGATCATCTTGTTTCTAATTCGTGAAGTGTCCGGAGACCTACCATGACAAAGATACATAAATATATATATATGATTATGATTTATGAACATGTAATAGGTATGAATGAGAGATAATACCATGCTATAAAGAAGATTTTGCTCTTCTGGCAATTCTCTGCAGTCACAAAATCGAAATCAAAAACAGCATAGCGACATTCATTAGCAGGGAGACATGCCGTAAAGTCCTCATAGTTTTGAGTCGGGTCACCGACTTTTTCTACAACCACCTCCTTCTGTTTTTCCTCGATCTTATAAATGATGAATCTATGTGTCCTTTTTGCTTTCAGCTCCATGAACTTCAATTTGCAATCATCGTGCACAGCCATTCCCGATGCTGCATTTGCCTACAAATTTTGACAGATACATATCGTTTACAAGTAGAGCGAGCGAAAAACTCTGTATACACACAACTTGGCAGTCTAAAATCAAAGATCAATCGAGCAACATTAAGGGTGTGTTTGTTTGTGTTTTCAACCGTGTTTTGGCAAATATGTGGGGCTTTAATAAGATATCACATATTACACATACTTCTCGTTCAAAATATCAGCACATCAAATCCAAATAGATTAAATTCGAACCCAAACTTAACCAAATAGAACACAGATATTACTTCAGTCAACAAATTCATCCATTTTCCTCACTGATTTGCAGGAACTGTATCCACAATGTTGATGCCCAATCAAATGAAACTAGTGAATCAACCTTACCATGACTCCTCCTATTCTTATTACAGAATTCTACGATCGAAGCCAAACTAATTAAATCTGATATATACTCATTTAAATTCTAAGACATGAACATCACCGATTTCTCTCATTGAGGCTACTTCAACTTCAACAAATTCTTTTAGCAATATTCACATCAGTTTATCACAAAATGATCATCAAACTAAAATCATCGCGTGTTAAAGCTCAATCATCGCAACCGTCAACCCTAACTAAAAAATTCACTACAAAATGGATCAAAATAAGTTTCCAGCCATTCCGAAGATCATCAGCACATAATAAATCTTGTCGCTACCACAACCAACGAACACAAACTCATTCCAAACCAAAATCAAATCCACAACCAAAAAAACTCTAAAATTCCCCAAAATTGAAATAAAAAAGAACAACAAACAAACAAAGAGCAGCGAATCAGAAAATTCACGCAGCCGAAAAACTCACCATCTTTGCAGCTGAAAATCTCAGAAAATGAAACAACGAAAGAGGGAGATGATTCTAAAGCTTAACACGAAAACGGAGCTAGGAAGAAGATAATGGAAGACGGAGCCGCCGATTTGGTATTTATTGGCTGCGGTAGGTTTTACGGCGCGTGAAAACCACCCGCGGTATACAAGCAGTTGCGTGACACCGCATAAGCCTAGCTGGCTGGCTGGCTGGCTCGTAGCCGACTTTGTTACGGCTCGTGTAATGAGTACGGCGGCTCAGCCGAGCTACAAGTATGTGGCTGTTGACGGCTTGCCAAATTCGAATATACTAATGCTTTTACGTAGCGAAGTCAAATTAAATAATACCTATTTTTATTTATTTATAAAAAATATTTAATTATTTATTTTTATTTAGGTCGGTCGGGTGGGCCCCGCTTTGGCGATTCTCTTTCCCACGTCGATCCCACGCCACATAAATTATTCGTTATCGCTTACCACCTATTGTTCGGTCGCAAGGGTCTCTTTAGGGTTTGAATTTTTTATTTAATTTTTAAATAGCAAATTTATTGAATTTAAATAATTATTTAATTTAATATAAACGTATGTTGATAAAAATGATAATTAATGAATATTAAAATTAAAGCTAAATTCATCGTTTTAATAAATATTTATTATTTTTATATTATTTTCACAAATTTTTATACCTAAAATATATCACAGATTATTTCACAAAAACAAAACACACTCAAATTATTTATCAATTTAAAATTTTCAGTAACAAACAAACAAAAAAAAATACATTTATTTTTATCTTTTGCCATCAATTCTTGTATCAAGCATCCCTAGAATTTTGAGATTTTGTAAATAATAATAATATAAAAAAAAGATTTAATATAATTTTCTAAAATAATGTCATATTTTAAAAAATATTATGTAAACAAAGGCTTATTTTATTTTAATATTATAAATTTTATAATACAAAAGTATGTTAAAATAAGCGAACAAACCGAGTCATTTTAAAAATTGGGATTAAATTTTACTATTAAGTTTTAATTGTAGCTATATACTCAAGTACGTCACATGCCGAATTTCCAAATTGAGGGCTGACAATATGAGGCTAGGTTAAATGTATCCTTTGAAAAGTTGTAGAGCATAATTTGCATATTACTCTTATTTCTCATGCTCCACTCTACATACAGTATTTTAAAAAAAATATAATTAATAGATAATTTAAAATGTATTAGTTAAAATAATTATCTTATAATATAAATAATTATAAATTTAGATTAAAATAACTAATTAGTTTAATTAAAAATTTTTTAAAAAAAATTAAAAAATTAAAAATGAGATTAAAGTGTGTAATCATTTAAAAAAAAATGATATAGAATATGAAACGGACAAAAACGGCAACATGGACATAGTATGTGAAACGAGAGAAGTATTATATTCAATCGGAGTTTATTCGAGCAAATGATAAATAGTTATTGTAAATTTCTACGTCATTAAAAATATATATTCTTTGTAAAGTCATATACATTTACCATATTTTTACACTTATATAAAGTCAAATAGTAGTATAAATATTATATTGAAAAATATTGCTTTAAAAATAGTATATTTTAATATAACATTGTAAATAAAAACTAGTATTAAATATAATATTATATATATAACAATATTAATATAATTTAGTATAAAAATAAATTTGTCTTTTTTAATATTTCAAATTCAATTCAATATTATTTAAATTAAAATATATTATTTGATCAAACACAATATCATATCAAAAAATTGTTCATATAAAAATTTAAATTACAATCAAATAAATCTTATAAAATACTAAATCCAGACGGTTGGAAACACACAAGGGAAGAGAAGAGAGAGAAAAATAAAATAACAAGACACGAGAATTTAACGTGGTTCGATTTTATAACAGACCTACATCCATGATCCAAAAAGTGGACAATCCACTAAAATACTCTCTCTGTCCTAGGTAATTTGGGTGTGTTACCGTAGACACGGAAATTTAGGTAAAATATGATTAGTAAGTAATTAAAAAGTGTATCAATAAAAATAATTGTTAGTATAGTAAAAATAATTATATATTAAAATTAAGATAACTAAATACTTTAATTTAGATTTAAAAATTATAAAATAGGAATCAAATAGATCAATTTATAGAAGTCAATGCTTCTACTTTTTATCACATTTTCAATCGTGGGACATGAAAAATTCCACAACAAAAAACTTAAAGAAGAAAAAAAAAAAAAAACCATTGAATAAAAGTTCGGACACTTTTTAACTTGTACTACATCTGTCATGAAAAAATATATATATTTGTCTGTTATAGTAAAATAAATCTAAAAAAAATTATCTCTTAAACATCTTCTCTTTAATTTACAAAAAAAAAAATGTCTATAAATTGAAAAGATGAAAGGAGTACAACTTTTTATTATTTTTCCTATTATTTTTTTTATGATTAAAAAAAGTATACCATACATTAAAAGTTGTAACCAAACTCAAATGAATTTATTTTTATACCTAACGGATGAAGTATTTTGTAGGGTTTAGATCAATTTTTATTACTTAAATTATATTTAAAATAATTATACATTTCAAATATTACAGTTCATAATTGTTTATAACACAAACCAAATAATTATTCTAATAACTCCAAATTTGTAAATACACCCTTAATTATTGGAAACAAGGAGTATTTATTTGGGACGTACATAATGACCTGTAGGCCGTAGCAGCAATAATGTCTAGACACTGATGGTTGGTGGCATTTGTCGCAATTGAAATAGATACCACCATGTTAATAATTCAATTGATTAGTACGGAAATTCCTCTTTAAATTTAGACATTACAAAAATTTGACTCTAAAATAGGAGTAGAAAATTAGGCTCGTTTAGATAACTGTTCTCTTTTTTTTTTTTTTAGTTTTGAAAAGAAAAAAGTAATAATCATAATTACATAGTTTATATAATTTTATTTTATTTAAAAAAAAAAGAATGTTTGAGAAATATTTATTATTGATGAACAATATCAAAAATCTTTTTGGAGAGAGGGCCTTAAAAATAAGGAGAAAAAAGTAGTTACGATTGAATAAAATTTATATAAATTGTTAGATAGAACATATGGTTACAACAACAACTACGGTCACGAATATATGATTAAAAAAAATATTGGGAAAAGGTTGCAGATCTGCAGCATAACTTTTGGTGCCAAAATTGTCACACGTGGCGGTGTAAACAACCACCGCCTTTGATATTTTTGCTGTAGGAGCACCACCTTCACTACTTTATTAGGTCAAGTTGTCACCATCAACAATTATCCACGCCTTTTCAGGATTTACACTCAATTTAATGTCACCCAGCTTTAATTGCAATTGCGCTACACGACATTAATGGCGGAATTTTGAATGGAATGGAATGGTCAGCACCGATTCAACAAACTTAAGGAAGAAATTTGTTGCTGTTTGTGTTTTCTAACTTTTGTTTTCTTATGAAAAACGTGGACCAAGGCTCTACAGTAGTGTCTCCGTGTACTTTACTGTGTTCTTAAATCTACGGCTTAATAATAGAGTAGATAGACATAGACTCCATGGTTGAGGAGATATCTGTACGGAATTAATTTGTTCTAGTAAGATGAATTCCAATAATCATTCCAATGCTTGATCTACTTTGACAGAGGAACATTGTGAAGTTAAATCAGGCAGATTCGCGCATGCTTTGCTCGATGTATTGAAAGATTAATTACTAAAGTTTCTGAAATTGTGATGAGATAATCAGAGAAGAGATGTACGGCGACGGATGGAGAAGAAGCACATTTGTTGAACAGAGGAACAACCGAACAAACAAAGAGTTTTTGCAGATTTCCAGAAGATTAAAGCAGGAAATTAAAACGGAGCACATTTCGGCTTTCACTGCAGCATTTTCTCTAATTTCTCTCTACAAATATCTTATTGAAAGCACAACAGTTAAATAAGATACCTACTGATATTATTCCGTACTCGCTGCAGGAAGCTCGATGTGCATAACTCATCCTTTGATCGCACGATGTGAACTCGGCATTTCTTCCGCCGGTTTCGCCGGTGCCTGCGGCGGCAAGCGAACTCCTCCGCCGTTGCTTCGCCCCTGCGGCTGGTGCGGACGTTGAGCGGCCGGCGGCGACGGAGAGATGTCATCGGAGAGAGGATCGGAAAGGTTATCCGGAATGACAAAAATGCCTTGCGATGGGCGGCGCTGGTGACGGTTAGCTCTACCCGACATGTTCTGTTCCGCGTGATTGAGAGAGATTTTGGCGATGCGGTGCTCGCTCCGTGGGACTGCTCGGATTTATATAGGCCGTTTGTCAAAGCTAGTCCATCTCCATCATCACATGGGCAAGGCTATGGATGCCCACACTACTTATGAACTCCTGGACCAATGGTCCATATAGCCGCACGACCCTGATGAGTTATGGTTACTATTGTTGTTACGGATGTCAAAGTAAACCCGATCCGAAAAATCGAACCCGTTCGACCTAAAAATTTTCAGGTTCGGGTTTTGGTATTTTGGATTTGAAAAAAATTGGGTTAATTTGAACTCGAAACGAAAATAATTTGTGTCGTGTTCTGGTCGTGTTTCGGATTGACCTGATAACCTCAAATATAAAAATCATGCTAGATTTTGGGTTTCGTGTTTCGGGTTAACATGAAATTTTTATTATTATTATTTTAATTTATAATATTTATATTATTTTAAATATAAAAAAAATAAAAATGATTTTTTTAGGTCAATTTATTTATTTATTTATTTTTTTAAGTTTTCGGGTTTGTTTCGTATCCGATTTGTTCAGGTTTCGGGTGACCTGAAACTAATTCAGGTCAACCTGAATCCGACTTGAAGGAATTTGTGTCGTGTTCGGGTCTAGAATTTCAAGTCAGATTTTGGGTTCAGATCGGATTCGGATTAACAGTTTTTTTGTTATCCCCATGACTGAACCCAACACGAACATGACTCAAAAACACGAATTGACATCACATTTTTCTATTCTCTTTCTCCAATTATTAATAATAAAATTTATTTATCATAATGTACATATATATAAACAGATGCTATAATTCTAAGCGAATAACGAAATTCAACGATAAATATACGATGTGTTCTTTTGTGAAGTTACCACTATTCAAATTCTTTTCAGCATCAAATAATTATTTCTATTTTTTATATTATATTATAATTTTATATTTTTATATTTATAATATTACATTAATTTTTATTTATATTACATCAATAACTATTTAAATTTAATTTTTTAATATTAAAAATTTTAAACCCCACAAATTAAAACTCACATACAAACACGTTCTTAGGCTTTGTTTAGATAGAGATTTTAGAAAAAATTTGGAATTTTGGAAGTTTAAAATAAAAACTTTAACGATTTGATATTCGATATGATATTTTGTCAAAAAAAATAAAAATTGATATGACTTTTTTTTAAAAAATAAATAATAGTATCAAATAAGTAAAAATATATAATATAAACAAAGTCTTAATTTGGAGAATAAAAATAAATTATTTTATTCAGTAAAATAAAATAAAATAAATTCAGATAAATTGTAATCCATTTTGGATAATTATTTTGTATGTTTCTTATATAATTGATTTATAGTAAATAATTTTATTTGTCCATAATTTATGACTCTACTTTAATAAATATTCCCTCAGTTCCCCATTAATAACCTATTTATTAGATAAAAATATTTGTTAATAAAAAATACATCAAAATAAAGTGATTTGGATGGATCTTATACATGTGGTTAGAAATTTAATTAAATTGATTATTATTAGTTGAATGTGTTTGAGATCGATAAATTTATTAAAAATAGATACATTTATCAATACAAATTATATGAAATATAAAAATAATAAAAATTAATATTCCCTACGTCCACTAATAAAGTATACAATTACTTTTGACGCGGTGTTTAAGAAATAATAGTATTTTAATTATAGTGGGTAGTTAAAAGTAGTGTAACGATATTTTTGCCCTTGCCTTTTGGTGTAAAAGTAACGATGTGATGTAAAGTAAGGGTATTTGTGGAAAAAAAGCGGTAACGTTCGTGGTGGTGCTTCAGGATTCCTGAGATCCGGTAACTGTTATGAATGTAGAGGAAATAAGGTATTTAATAAAATGTTTACTTTTTAATTGGACGTCCCAAAATAAAAATATGTATACATTATAGCTGGACGGAGGGAGTATATAATTTAAAATTCGTAAATGTGTTCTTTTTCCTAAAAATAACACACAATTTTATCCTTAAAAAATTAATACTCCCCTGCCAAGATCAAATCGGTTATTTGAAATTTCATAGTAAATTAAAAAGTAATAATATTTTATTAATAAGTGGAAGTATTCTGATTTTTTTTGACATTTTTTCATTGATTTAATACTCCTCTCATTCCATAAAGAAATATCTATTTGCTTTTTGTACGTAGTTTTAGAAATATTAATATTATATTGGGATATAATAAGAATAATATCAAAATGACTAAAATAACCTTATTAGTACGTGTGGTATAAAAGTAATGACATTTGTGTAATATATTGTAAATTGTAAGGGTATTTGTAGTGTTAAGATAGATAATACAATTACTAAAAATAAAAATGAATACTTGGTATAAGACGGACTAAAATAAAAAAATGAATACTTTGTTACGAGACGGATAAAGTATATAAAGTAATTATATTTATAATAGTATATTTGTAAGATAAAAAAAAAATGGATATACTCGTAGATTTTTTCAAAGATAATTAAAATTAGTAAAAAAAGTAATTTGAATGGTAACAAATAAAAATAGTAAAAAGAAAAGATAAAAAAAATACTTGATGAGTTTGTTTGGTTTCTGATTTAACATTAATTTGAAATAAAAAAAATAATTTTAATAATTTTTTAATAATATTTTAATTAATATGTTAACAAAAATCAATATATTTTTATTAATAAAGTATATAACGAATAATATTAATTTTAATTTAAAAAGTTAAGAAAACAATTTATATTATTTCCATCACGTTACAGAAATAAATACAAATAATCTAAGCCGTTGAATTCATCGTTGATCCAACGGCAGGAATCCATTCTCTACACTCGGATATAATTGGACACAGGAGAGAGTCTCACCGGAGAGAAGCTCAGACACGTCAAAGAAAGGAAGAGTGACTCTGATGATTTCCGCGCCACGTGGCGCAAATATACCGGGAGTAACGACTTGACCATTTAAAAGGGCTAAAATAAAAAAGACATTATTTATTATTTATTATAAAAAATAATAATAAAGGAATACAAACCTGAAACCCCTCACCCATCTATCATTTTCGCCCTTATCTGTGGTTTCGCATTCACCGCCTTCTCGTTCCTTCCAAATATCCAAAACGACTTTTGTTCGCTCTAACTTACAACACAAGAAATGCTCTCAATGTGAACCAAAACAATCAAATTTGGAGTGGAGGCAGAGCAGTTTGTACCGCCAACTCGACATTTACGTCCTGTTTGAGGCCAATTTCTGAGAAAATTGATTATCACTACACTAAACCCTAGGTGTTCTCCTTTTTATTCCTTGTTTTATCCCCAGTTTAGATCTGTTGTTGTGGGGGTGTTGCTGTACGGTAATTTTGAAGAAAGTGTGTTCAGTATGTATGTGTTAGATCTGTAGGATTTTTTATTTTATTTTTTGATGGAAGAGGGGAAGGGAAAGTGGTGTTTGGTTTTCAGTGGATTGGTGAGGTAGGTTGGATTAGTTATTGTGCGGTTGAATTCGGTTTACGAATTGAAATTGGAGTCTTGGAAAGAGGCCTGGGAGTTAGTTATCGCATGCTAACCTTTGGTGGGTGGTTATTTTTCATATTATGTAATTTTCTCTTCGACAAATTAAATTACGTAATTGCGTGACGGAGCGTAAATTTTTGTATCAGATTCAGAAATTCTGCCGATTCTTGTGTAAAGCTGGATGTACATCTTACTTTCTTCGACGCGGTAGTGTTGATTTTGTTTTTGAGAAGCTGCTGCTGGTGGATTTGGTGATTGCGAGAGTAACGTGTAGCTTGGTTGGATTTTTTCGCATAGTCTGAAGAAAATTGGCAGCGGATTGATGACTGATTTGATGTCTGGCCTGCATTTTACAGAAGGTATAGAGCCATGTGCGAAGGAGATAGCTACAGAATCGTGTAATGATGATGAAGTAGGGTGTTGTGTTGCTGCTGTTGTTGGGGAAGGGGCAAATCACGCGGAACTAGATATGGAGTGTTTCACTGACAAGCGTATGGTAGAAATATTGACACCTACTGAACTGCATCCTTCTCTTGAAAGTCATGCGAAAGATGTTGTGATGGTTACTGAACAGGAACTTTCCCCAGAAGTTCAACTGAATGATGTCCGTGGGGATTGTGTTGGGTCACAACCTCAACCTCATGCGCAGGCAGTGATCAATACTGCAGAGCAAGAGCCCTCTGCTGAGAGCCTCAAAACTGAAGCATTTGAAACCGACATCGTTAAGAATGTTAGTGAAATGGTAATGGAAACCTGTACTGGTAATGATCCCTCAGAACCTTGTGATGGTAATCTAGTGATATATCATAGTAGCAGTAATGCAATAAATGAGTTTGGCACAGAGCCATGTCCGGCTGGTGACGTGAAGGAGTCCTCTAATGGTGATGTGTGCTCTGAAGTTTTAAATCCAAATAAGTCCCCAAATCATGTGCTCGACAAAGTTAATGTTCGCTGCGGAGAGGTTACATCTCCTTGCTGTGGAACTTCGTTTTCTGAAGGGAGTTCCGGAAAGGAAGAGCATGGTGATGTCAAATTGGAATCGGTTCCCACATCCTGTGTGGTGCTTGAAATTCCAAAGCATATAAGGCCTACTGGTATTAGGAAATTAACTTTTAAGTTCAGAAAACGGAAGGAGGATTTTGACAGTGATGTATCTGCTGCCTTGAAGACCTTGTACAAGAATGGATTTGAGAAAGGATCTTTGGCTCATAAGAATGCGAAGATGGATTTAAACATGGCTTGTATTCCTAACAGGGAGCTGATGATGTCGAAGAAAATAATACCGGATAACTACCCTGCTAAAAAGCTTCTTCATGTACCTTCCCTCAACCAACAAAGCAATGTAGAGGTGTCAGCAGAGCTGAAGCGTCCCATCAAGAAGTATATTTTGGTTTGCTCCCCCTCTCTTTCAATTGAATTCATCTTTATCCAGTTTTCTCAATCTGAATTCCTGTGCAGGCTAAGGCACAGTGTATCTAGCTCATTGTGGGATCAAAAGAAGACCTCAGAAGGCGGTACAAAGAAAAGGCAAGTTTCTTATTTTTTGTCAATCATATGTTTTATTATTTTTATCTTGGGGGACTGTTGGAGATATGAATTTGCTAATGTATGGCAGGGACAATGATTTGCATAAATTGCTTTTTATGCCAAATGGGCTGCCTGATGGAACTAGTTTGGCTTATTACTCTAAGGGAAAGGTTGTTTATCGTTGTGTTCATGCGTGCTTTTGTTGGTTTGTGAGTTTCCTTTCCCTAACATTGGCATATGTTTGTATTCATAGAGGATTCTTGGTGGCTACAAGCAAGGGAATGGCATAGTCTGTAGTTGTTGTAATACAGAGGTATGTTTAGTTACCTGCACTTTGAAGTACTCAGCAAATCTGTCTCTGCTTTTTGAGTGATGCTACTTTTTTTTTTTGTCTTTTTGGGTTCTTTTAATTTTATATTTTTTCCAAACAGATAAGTCCTTCGCAATTTGAGGCTCATGCTGGATGGGCTGTGAAACGTCAACCGTGAGTAGCTTTTTTGAGGGATCTGTAGGTTACTGCATCTTCTGTCTTTCTCTCAGCATTATAACTTGGTCCCTTTTGCAGCTATCGCCATATTCATACATCTAGTGGATTGACACTTCACGATGTAGCCTTGATGTTGGCAAAAGGCCGCAATCTTACCTCATGCGGCAATGATGATGTATGCTCTATATGTGGAGATGAAGGTGACCTGAAAACATGCAATGGATGCTCACGAGCATTTCATGCAGGTGACTTTTCCTTACTTTCATTATTGGAAACTCTTTTGGGAACAATCCATATTCAATGCCCCTATTTTCTAGCTTAATCAAAGTTATCTACACAACTTACGGATTTGTTTCACTTCATTGTGATTGATTTTCACATGGATACATTTGCAGCTTGCGTCGATCCGCTATGTCTTCCCACGGATGATTTGCACTGTCCATCCTGTGGCGACAAAATTAGTCCTTGTAGAAGAGCATCTGGAGAGTCGAGACCTATTATCCTTAGGTTAAGAAGAGTCGTTAAAGCACCAGAATTTGAATCTGGTGGTTGTGTCATCTGCAGGTCTGTTACATCACTTGCATTTAGCTTTATTTCTCAGCACCTTCTCTATCAATTAGTTTCGTTTCTTGTGTTTGGCAGGTCACAAGACTTCAGTGCAGTTAAATTTGATGATCGAACTGTGATTATATGTGATCAAGTATACATCTTTGTCAACCCTACTAAATCTTTTATTTGTTTTCTGTCAATGCATGCATGTGATTTCTGAGTTCTATATATTTTGATCTCTCTTGTATGATTGTCTAGTGTGAGAAGGAATATCATGTCGGTTGTCTGCGTGAGACTGGAATGTCTGATCTGAAAGTAAGTCCACGATTGTTCGATTAATTCTAGATGAATTGCTGATCAATTTGCTATTGACATTTTCTTAAATTACTGCAGGAACTTCCTGAGGATAAATGGTTTTGTTGTGATAGCTGCTATAAAATTTCTGAAACACTTCAGAATATGGCCTGTAGTGTGCCCGAGTCAATTCCTGCTGCAGTGTCAGCTGCATTATATAAGAAGCAAACAATGATAGCTCCTGAGCATTTTCCCGATGGTCTTAAGAATGAGATTCGGTGGTGCATTTTGAGCGGGAAGGAATGTGCTCCCGAACATTCATTTCTACTCTCGCGAGCTGCAGCAATTTTCCGTGTAAGCTTCTTTTTTTTTTTTTTTCAAAATGTATGTCCCACCTTCCAATTTCAGGTGCAGTTTTAATTTTGATTTTGATATCTGGGTGTAGGAGTGCTTTGATCCTATTGTTGCCAAATCTGGTCGAGATCTCATCCCAATTATGGTGCATGGGTTAGTTATCTATCTTCCTTTATTTTTGTTGCTACGGTAGCGTAAGTTAATGGCTGTTGTAGTAGATTCTAAATGTGGTTTTAAGTTACCTGCAGAAAGAACATATCTGGTCAAGACTTCAGCGGAATGTACTGTGCAGTTTTAATTGTTAAGTGAGTAAAAATTCCATCCATCTTCTGTCGTGTGTATAAAGATTCATATACATATATATATATATACATGCTAAATGTTATTTATGTTTGTTTGCGTCAGGTCTGTTGTTGTATCAGCTGCTCTTCTCAGAATATTTGGACAAGAAGTTGCTGAACTTCCTCTAGTGGCAACTAATAGAGAAAATCAAGGAAAAGTAAGGCTCTATTCAGTTACTATATACTTTTGGAATTTCTGAGTAACTTGTTACAAACATTATACTTCCTCCGTCATCTAAAACATATTTTTGTTTTTTTTATAGTAAAGAATACCAATTCTTCTATTTTTATTTTTTTTTTACTATAAAAGAAATTTTTTCTCTTTTTACTCGTATCTCTTTAAGTTTGTGCCCGATCAAATGGGCATAACTTAAGATGACTGGAGGGAGTATCAAATAGTATATATTTATATTTTTCCTCTCACAATAATAAGTATCAAATATCCAATATTTTACCTATCTTTTTGGTCCAAATTACATCTTGTGGTAAATGTATTGTAGGGCTATTTTCAAGCACTGTTTTCCTGCATTGAGAGGCTTCTGTCTAGCATGAGTATTAAACACCTGGTACTCCCTGCAGCCGAGGAAGCCGAACCCATGTGGACAAATAAGCTCGGCTTCAGGAAGACAAGCCACGAGCAAGTAAGTTCTTCTTAAACTTTCCAAACTTGTCTTCTCAAGTTAGTTATTAATTAGTTTCTCACTATCCTGGCCGAACCATTTAGACAGTATTTTGAATCTTGATTCTGAGGTTCTTTACAAGTTTTCGGTATTTAAAGAATATCATGTCAATAGAAGGACTGACTACACAGTAGATTGATTCAGCGAGCGAATTATTAGCAACTGGTTGTGGGCTAACATGTATGTATGTATATTTTTGGAAGCAGATGCTCAAGTATAGATACTTCCAGATAACCATATTTAAAGGGACATCATTGCTGGAAAAGGATGTACAACAAGCTACAAAGACGACGACGGCAGATTGAAAAAACTTAAAGTGAAGCAGATGCAGATTCATGAGCAATCATCAGGACATAGTTTGATGCACAGTTTGATTCTCTCAATGGTAATGCATAATCTTGAGCTCATCTGCCTGTACTAACTCAATTTGTCCTGTTTTTGAAAATAAAGAGACTTGTAATAGTGCAATTGCAATGGAGTCCTACTCCTGCCTAATGTCATATCAACTTATCAATTGCGCTTGCTGTTGCTGTTCTACTTTGTACTCTCTGTTTTTTCCCTTAGTTTTGGTTTGATAAAATTTGATTTAGATTTTGTATTTAAATAATATATGATGTGATATTTTATGAGAGAAAAAAATTGTATATACATATATTTTAAATAGTAAGATTTGAAAAAATTGAGATAAAGAAATACACAGGAATTTTATTTTTTTTCAAAATTTTCTAGAAATCAACAAAATTTTAGTTTTAAAAAATTCATGCCGTCAAAGCTCTTTCACTAGTTACTTTGTAAAAGATCTTGCACCAATAAACAAAATAATTTTTGGTACCGAAAATTTAAATTATAAATATTCAATTATTATTATCTTTTCTTTAATAAATATTAGTTTTTTAATTGTATTATATTAAAAAAATACTATCTCCCTGGAAAGATGACCCTTTTTGTTAGTGATAAGGTATTTTAGGTAGTGTAGATTTATTATTTTTTATATGTGTAGTGTTGTTGGTATTTTAAATATTTTTAAAATTATATCTGAATAAAATATATACGATAAAATTTTATATAATCAAAATGAATATAAATATATATATTTATTTATCATTATTATAAATTAGTTTTTATAAAAAAATGAGAGTTTTAAAGGTAGATAAAAATATTTGTTAATTAAAAAGAGATAGAAATACATGGGTTTTGAGTAGTCCATTTATATTTGTTAAATATGTTTAAAAAATTAGTAAAATTTATAAAAATAGAAAGGGGTGGGACGTAAAAAAGAATTAATATCTAAAATTTGGATTAAGTTTGGGCCGGATCTTTTATTGGGCCGGCAGCCGTGGGTTGGCCCACTTGCATTGATGTTGCATTTCAACTGTTATTATTTTTATCATCCGTGTTATGTATATCAAAACACATACAAATGCTTTTACCATCATCAAATCGAATATTTAATCTTAAATATGTATATTTACAAGTGACAATTTCGATTTTCTTTAATTTTGTTAATAAGATAGTAATATTATTTAAAATAATAAAAAGCATATTATTATGTAAATAAATAAATAAAGAAAATGGAAAATGAAGAATTCAACGGCCGACCGCAGCTGACGTCGCAGGGACGTTTCCCTCCCTCCTCTTTTTTCTCTTCATTCATCGTCCGTCCGTCTATCATCATTTCGCCAGATCCCTTTTTTCACTCTTCCCTACGATCTGGTAATCGCTCTCTTCCAGTTTTCAAATTTCGATTTCCTTCCTAATTTTCGTGTGCTTTATCGAAAATGTGATTGATTGATTGAATGAATTGATCCATTCATTGTGTCCTGCTAGGGTTTGGTTTGGGGAAACGAATATTGATTGATATATTGAAGCAAACACATGGCTGCCCCACCCGCCAGAGCCCGAGCCGATTACGATTGTCTCATCAAGCTCCTCTTGATTGGCGACAGCGGTGCGTGTTTCTCACTCCGTTCTGGATCCTCCAATTGTTTTTGTTTGATAGATTTCATGGTTAGTGCTTTGTTTGTATGCCTTTAGATGTAGGAAATGTATTGGTTTTGGATATTCTCGTAGTTTTAATAGTTTTTCGGTTATGTAGATTTTGAGGATCCATTGTTCACTCGACGGTGATTTGCCGTGATGAGAGTGAAAATTTTATGCCTTAGGATTCACTGATAAAAGCAAAAAATCTCTTATCTGTGTTGATATTGTTGGAGACGCAAATGCAGTGTATGTTCTAACAGTATAAGAATCACTGTTTGACTGCGTAGGTATTGCTGAATCAATATTACGTTACAAGTATGTAGGCACTAATGATTTCACATTTTTAAACTTAAAAAATTACTGAACGCTGGGATCAGACAATACTTGAATTCTCTATTTGCAGGAGATCTCTGATATTTTATACATTTGACTAGTGTTTGAGTCAGTTACTCGAAGCTAGCTCTAAAAGAATCGAAAAATATATAAAATCTGTTAGTAGTTTTTGAAGAATCTTTGGTTTTGAATTTGTTTTAGGATTGGTAGATTTGTTACCTCAGAATCTGTCCTACTGAATGTTGATTGATTTCGCTCGTTTACCTTAAATAATGGATATATTCATAACTAGGTGCTGTATATTTTTATTTGCCATAGAGATTCCTTATAATATCATGTTTCATCTCTACAGGTGTGGGTAAGAGTTGCCTTCTTTTACGATTTTCCGATGGATCTTTTACCACCAGTTTCATCACTACCATTGGGTTGGTTTAGATCTATCTGTCGATATATATAAAGCTTCTTCTTCAGTCAGGCTTTCAGCAAACTTCTTTCCCTTTTCTGATTTTTTGTTCATGCAGGATTGATTTCAAGATAAGGACTATAGAGCTTGATGGTAAAAGAATAAAACTGCAGATTTGGGATACTGCTGGCCAGGAAAGATTCCGGACCATCACTACTGGTATTGATGCTGGGATTCTTTGCCTCCTTTTTTTTTTCTTTTTTTTTTTCTTGAGCATAAGCTAAACTAGTGGTTGATTTCAGCTGCAACTGGTTTCTTCTGGAAACAGGACCTACTTTTATGTTTTTGAGACATCTTTGCAAATGATATATCACACTTAGATATATGAAGTGCCACTTGCTGCCCATGTATTTATAATAAAAACTGACACATATATTTTCCATTGTTTTTGTGTTTGTGAGTCCTCAAGGACTATTGATTAGCTGCTCTGTTAACTGAGGACTTATATGTGCTGGTTCGATAAATGTGTAATTTGTCATGCTAGTAAATAATTAAGGATCAAACCAGATAGTAGTGGTACAATATATGCTGGCCTTTTCAAATGTAGTCTCTAAGAAAAGAATTTGGTTCTGATTTCCAGAGAGATGCTAGTTTTCGTAGGGATGATTTTGCTTGTTCAATAAGTCTTTTCTCTATGAGGCTTTTAGATCCTTTCCAAAATGTACATTTTCCCCTTGTTCTTGGATTTTATAAGATTTGTGTCTGATGAACTAATTATTTTGCAGCATACTACCGTGGAGCAATGGGTATATTGCTGGTTTACGACGTCACTGATGAGTCATCTTTCAACAGTAATAACTCATCAAAACCCCACTCTACTTCTCCTAAATATCTCCTTTCAGCCTGATGAACTAATTATATTGCTGGTTTATTCTTCTGTTTTTTATGAACTAGTGTTCTATTTTCTTATGGTTGCTACCCATTCTACATTGTATTTTCATGTTGGAATTCATTTTACTCCTTTCTGTAGACATCAGGAATTGGATCAGAAACATTGAACAGCATGCATCTGACAATGTCAACAAGGTTTTGGTGGGCAACAAGGCTGATATGGATGAAAGCAAAAGGGTTTCTCTCTCTCTCTCTCTCATCCACACTTCTCTCTAATCCTGCTTTGCTTTCGACTGTAATCTAACTCAGACCCTTACTTCTGCAGGCTGTACCCACATCCAAGGGCCAAGCACTAGCAGATGAATACGGGATCAAATTCTTTGAAACTGTAAGCATCGTATACTGTATTAGTATCCACACTTCATTTGAGTTTTATTTTCGTATAACTAACTTTGTCGAATACATATGTATATAAAATATATTAAAATCGGATTAACCATTACTCTAAACAGAGTGCTAAGACAAACATGAACGTGGAGGAGGTGTTCTTCTCAATAGCTAGGGACATAAAGCAAAGACTTGCTGAATCCGACGCAAAGGCAGAGGTATAATTATAAAGCGACATTCCATGTACATATTTGTCGATAGAATTCCATTACGAATACGGCCCCCCGTTGTCTTTCAGCCACAGGCCATAAAGATCAGCCAACAAGATCAGAATGGCGGAGCAGCAGCTGCTCAAAAATCAAGTTGCTGTGGTTGATCATCAAAATTGGTTCGGTTCGCTCCCCTTAGATTTTCGGCACAGCAGCCACAGGTCAGGTCAGATCATTCATGTTTGTTTTCCATGGTCCTTGTATGGCTGGTTACTACCCCTCCTCTAATTATTATTATTATTATTATTCTTTGACAACAACGAAGACGGCGATGATGATGCTATGTCATGAGATTGAATTTGTGTTTAGTGACAGTTTTTTTTATTGAATTGCCATTATTATTTAATATTTTTCTTGTAATGAGATTTTGTCAGAATATTAGCTACGCTACTTTGAACTAATTGCTTGAAGTTTCATCTTGACTGAGTATTCATATTCTATTCTGCTTTGTTAGGAATTAGGAATACGGATGCATGATTGTTTGCATTTTTTGTTTCTCAGTTTGTGAGTTTTGAAATTCATTAGCAATTAAAGTTGATTCTTGATTTCGAATTCTAGTTAGTATTTTAGATTCGAAGTAATTCAATCTATGCAACCAAACAGGGTTTAAGCGAAAATAATGAATATTGTGGAGGCAATGTTTGTAAAATTTAAATAGTAATGAAAATGGAAATGCATTCATTCATTTCACTCTGTATTTCTAAAGATACAAAAGATTTTTCCACACTACAAATAACACAGCAGCACAGCCCTCCCTCAGTCGTTCTTGCATCATGGGGTTGGGCCAAAAGCCCAATAAGCCCAAGCCCAATTCTAATTATAGAAGAAGTTTTAAAGCATGGGCTGGGCTTCTAACATTATTGATGGGGTAGTGTTTGTTTGTATTTTGTTTTGCGTAACTTGGAAAATAAATCGATCTTGTTGTTTATTGGCAATCTGAATTAGAATGAGGAGCAAGGTGGACAGAAAAGAGGGAGTAGACAGGTCTATGGTCAGAAAACCTTGTCTCACTTCTCTCATAGCACATCTGCTTAATCCCTTCCCCTTTCCACAGAATCCTATCGCACCTATTAGTGATTAATAATTAATAAAACTCAACAGAGATAAATACTTTATAACATTATCATCTTCATAATTTGGTTATTTGTTTGATTGATTCTTTCTAAAGGATGTTTTTATTAGTTAATGGTTGGCAATTAGAATGAAAGGAATGTACTAACCAGGCAGGCGTTCTCCTGGGCCTAGGCTTGTCTTGATATGAATTGGTGGCGGCGTAGTATTTGTCTGAATTGGTGAGATATTTGTATGTTGGAGCAAAACTTATGTCCCCTTCTTCCCACCCTTTAAACACTCCTCCATCAGCCTTTTGCTCCACTCTTAGCTGCAATGCAATGCAATGCCCACACCAAATCTCAACATCAGTATTATCTATTAGCACACGATATATTGTGTCAAATCATAAAAGACAATAACAATTACCATACTCCCTTTAGACAACAAAAGTGTAGAGTGTGTATTTATCAAATTATATTCATAAACTTCTTGACTATATATATATATATATGTGTGCGTGTTTACTTACTTGATCTTTCTCCATCAGGGCTTGCCAATCTTGGCGTTCTAACAGTTCGTATGTATTGCAGCAGATGGACGCCAGCCGGTAGTTCAAGTCCCCCAGCCATATTATGTTGCTGTTTACACACGCATACATACATATATGGTTAGAACAACGCGCAATAACCAACTGAGCTATTATCATGTAACCATTACATTCTTATGTTTACGGCTTTATCTCTTTTAACTAACTTACTCGTGATCCAAAATCTGCTCGGGTTTACACGAATTCGAGAATCGCGTCCTCTTCAAAATTTCCGCAACATCTGAGTTTCTCCTCACCGCGTCGCCTCTTTTCTCTCCCGACGCCAGGTGGGTGCACACAAAGCAAAACGTTGTTTCGTCTAGCGTCATGCTTATAGACACCGACCCCTGAAAAATTCGATCAAACGGTCTTGTTCAGACATAGCGCTTTCGAGCAATAAACATTTATAACACGGCTATTACATAAAATCATTCTAAACAAACCTTGTTTCCGAGGCATCCCATGAGGCCTGTCCCGACGCACGAGATCTTGGTACGTGATATATGTCCGTACAAGCCTTGGCGAACCCACACACATAGGAAGATCCCGACCATTTGCTTGCTAGCCGCTAACCGGTACTTATGTTGTTGTGCTAAATGCTCGTGGATCGGGCTCGTGCTAGTGCTAGAGCTAGGACCCAAACTGTTGAAGCCTTCTTCTTCGCTAGAGCACGAGCTCGACCGCAAGCTCGAGAAATTATCTCCCAAGGAAGAGATCAGATCGTCGGAGGAGCTTATTCTGGCCTCGTCGTCATCGGGGTCGGGATTCAGAGCTGCATGGACTAAAGAGAGCCATTTTCGCGCCATGCCGGAGTCGCCGGGGCCGAGCACATTTCCGGCGTTCAACGGTACAATCTCTTGGAACCTACGGTTGATGTAGTGGGAGTGTTATTGGTTGTGTCCAAAACAGACAAGTTTATATATGGCAGTTAGTAGTATATATTATATACCGTCATAGTATATTTATGATATGTTATAATTCAATGTATGTATGATATCTTGTAAGAAACATAATATATATGTACCCGAGTACGTATACGTCGGAAGGTGAATCAAAATGATCAGTCCTTAACCAATCATTTAGGTTTAGATCATTGTTTGGTGTTTTCCCTCCTACGTTCCATGTCCCCACAAACGTCCTGCAGGTAGATAGACAGAATTATAGACATTATATAACTATATATATATAGAGAAGCCAATCAATAGTTATTTATTTAATTGAAACTTAGGACATTAGTACCTTAATTATAACGTTGAAATTATGGAGAAATTATATTAGGGAATAAAATTGCACCGAGGTAATTTAACATTAAACGAATTGATTTTTATTTTAGTAATATAGAGAATTTAAATAAAAAGATATAGGAAATAACATATATGATTCGATTTAAGAAATAACATATATAAATTTTTTATATTGACAATTGGTCAGGTATAGGTCGTATCCAGTTGAACCTAAGACTTGACCTGAATACATATTGTTGAACCCGAAATTCGAATTGGACTCGGCTATATCCGGACCCGACAGATCTGAATCCAACCCCAACAATCTCAACAAGGCCCGATGAATCTAACAAATGTGCGAAATTTTTTACAATTCTTAAATTTGAACTTGAAATTGGACTCGGCCCGCACTTGACCTATATATTTTATCCAAAAATATTATAATAAAATAATAAAAAATATTTTTGATATAATTTATGTTATTAAAAATTATTGTATATATATAATTAATATACTATTAAAATATTAATGTGGTCTGGGTCGGATCCAGGTGAGATCTAACCCGGACCCGATAAGAGTACACAATATACGACTCATATCCGACCCGATACTCAATTGATTAGATCCGTCCCCAAATAAATTGGTCAGGTCCGGATATGCCATGATCCATTGCCATTTCTAATTCTTTTTACTTAATTTTCAATTCTTAATTTTTTTTATTCAAACAATCATGAAAAATAAGTTTAATTTTCTGTTAATAGTTTATTTGTATCAAATACACTCCGTATTTTCTTGTAGAAGGCATTATAGTTCATGTATAAAAAGACAGAGCGAGTCCATCAATAATCACTTATTATTGTTTCAATCATATGATCAAAGCCTGTTTGAAGCATAAAGTCAAGTGTGTAATAATAATAATAGTAATTTTATTTGACAAAAGTTGGAAGGAAAAATCGAAATTAGACACTGCAAATTTTAATTTCAACAATTTCCATAAAATTAATAATTAAGATTGCTTATTTAAGCCTTTGAAAAGTTTTTACCTAAGCTGGTTTACGTCCAATCCTGACCGTCCGTTTTCTCGTTCTGTAATAAATTAAAACAGTATAAGTGATAAGCGTGCATACAGAATTATAAATTTAAATCTTAAAAGTGATCGATTAAAATAAAAATAAATAAATAAAAACACACCTGAGGTAGAAGTTTTGTAATAATCCGACTGATGAAATCCATGGCATGCAGCAGAGTTCATCTTCAACCACTTTCTGGCCACCACTTTCGGCCATGATGACGACTGCAATTGTCAGTTAATTACAAACTTCAGAATACATACAAATATATATATATATGTTGTTTAAAAACTAATATGCAATATACTGACTGAGATTACCGTACCTTGCGATAGGTTTTCTGTTCTCTCATTGTCTCAGTTCCTACAGTGTAAGAACACACAGCGAAAGGAAATTAATACAAAATCGAAACGCAGTAACATCAACTACTCAAAACATACGGTTATGAATATGCGAGAATTGAACCTTAAAAAAGAGCAGAGTAAGATGATGTACGAACCTCGTGAGTTCATGTTTCAGACATACGCACAGCACGTCTGTATCTGCAGGGTAATTAAAGCAGCGCAGTTGAATCGATCAATCTTCTCGAAAACACAGTTTGCTCGATTCGGTTCGATCCGATCTGTAAATGTAAAAGAAATTAAAATCGTTTGATGAATATTTGATTTGGAAATGATTGGGGATTGGAGACAGGACAGGGAGGAGCGAAAAACGTGGGAGCAGTGTCCGAATTTATATAAACATATGTACTTATGGTGTGGTATTGTCTGTTGGGTTTTGGGAAGTCAGTCAGAGAAGAAAGCGCAATCATAAAATTAAATAATTTATTATTGTAGGATTAAAAAAATCCGTGGAAGCTTCTCATTGGTTTTTGTAATTTTATGATAAGCTATGCCATTCCACAAAATATATATATATACATATTCCTTCCCTTGAGCCTACAGTGTTTCGTTTACTGTCGACGCCAGAATTTACGAGAATTTTAATTATTAAATAATTAAAAATATATTAATGAAAATAATTATCGTATAATCAAAATAATTTTGGATTAAAACTAAAATAATCCATTAGTCTAATTAAAATTAAAAAATATAATATGTAATTAAAGTCTATAATTCTTTTTCAAAAATAGAAAGTGAAAAAATAAATGGGACAGAAGACAATGTAAAAGTGAACACGGTAAGTGAGACGTAGAGAGTATTTTATTTTATCACTTTATTCTAGCTAGTCTGACTCGTTTATTATAAATTCGAGTTTGTATTGACGCGTTTATTATCGTGTTGACTTTTATATAATTAGATTGAAATTCTTGATTAAAATCTAATTATTTCTTTTCGGATTGTCGTATTGTGTTAGATTTGGTCGATTCTACTATATATATATTGAATTATTTAAAATTGATTTTTCTTTAAATTAATACGTAAGCTCATTATCAAAAAATAGAATTATATAATTGAATTCGAGTTAAGGGCTCAATCATAATCCGACTATTTATTATGATGTTGGTTTCGTATCAATCCGTATATATATATGATAAAATCAAAATTCTTAACCTAAATCCAACTATTTTATATAAAATTATCGTATCGTATCAATTTTTTTACAGCTCCATGCGGGAGATAACAATCAAACATGATGCTGATTTTCAAGATAAGTACTTTATAAATAGGTAAACATTAAACTATTTATTTTTTATGTGCTAATCAAATCTAATCAACATTTTAACTATATATATCTCTATATTATATGTATATCCATATAGGGACTCCAAATTATATATTTTTTTGGTATAAAAATAGAAATATATATATATATATCTATATATACATTGTCCCTTATTATTTATATATATATATATATATTAATTTTTTTTTTTCTTTACCTCAATAATGTTGTGTTAAGAGAAACTGAAAATAACAGTATCATATCAAAAGAAGCAAATTTGCATCTTGTTGATTCTGTGGCTACATCCATACGTATGTACAAATGCACTTAGAGATTCAAGAAGATTATCTCACAAATCTATGGATACGATTGTCTGTATTTTAGAGTATTTTTGGTTTTTTGAATTTGTAATAAATAAATATTTGTTAAAAACAATTCAATATTGTTAAATATTTATATATTATTATAATAAATTAGGAGTATAATGATACGGTATAGTTGAAAACACAAAATAAACACAGCCTTGGCTTATGGTTTAATTCGTCTGTCACGTAAATTAAATTGATCAGTTTTAGATCATTATTTTGCATTTAGTCAATCTCTTTTAGCTCATTATTTAGCACTTAGTCAAGGGGAATGCGTATGTAATTTTTAAATGGAACACGTAAAAATTAACTTTTAATTGGGACAAAATGAATATTACTTATATTTTTAAAAATATTTCAGTATTTTGAATTATATAAATAACAAAAAAATAAAATACTTAATATAATAATAATAATAATAATAATGCGAGTAGCCCTAATGACATTATTTTATAATTTTAAAAATCAAATAAAAGTAGAGGAACGGGAGTAGATAAGCCCCAAATTTGCACCATGGCTTACATATATATATATATATATTGACCAAGGCACTGGCGACTGAACTGGATACATTCAATGTATACATACATACATACAGAGTTGGATAATATTTATATATAAAAATATAAATATAAATATAAATAATAATAACAATACTACCCAATAAATGACATATGTGGAGACACAGATGTCAACCCTACACAATTGTTTTCTTTTCGGGCAACACAGTAAATCCGATATTTTAGTGTGACAGGTCATCATCAATAATCTAATTTCCTACTTACACATGTCTAATTAATGCAATTTCTACTTTTATTTTATTTTAAACCTCAAAAAGTGAACAAAGCAAATCTGGAAAATCTTAATCTACACTAAACTAATATATAATCTGCAATTAATGTACTACACTATCAATACGTGGCAGCTCTATGCTAAGTGCCGGAATTAAAAACCTAAACCACTTCCTTAATCACTCCTAAGCACGTAATTAAAAAAAGTAATTAGTGCGTATTCCTACCAAATGTAATCCACAGGTGTGATTTGGTTTCATCACACTCACGGAAATAGTAACCATGTCTTTTCCATTTAAATTAATTTATGTATGTATATTCATTTCAATACAGAAACAAAAAATAATAATATTTTAAATAAAAAAAAAAAATAAGTTATAGTTAGTACAAGAAATTTATTAAAAATAGTAAAAATATAATGACAAATTAATTGTTATTTATTAAAATTTCAATAATACATTTATAAATAACTAAAAAGTATAAATTTAACATGCAAAAAACAAAAAAAAAAAAAAAAAAAAAAGACATAACATTTGTAAGAAAATAATAATACTCTCTCTCTATCCATAAAAATATTAAATAGTATACTCTCTATTAGCTGAACAAGCAATTTAATTAATATAGTATTATAGTAATTAATTATAACATAAATTAATATTATTTTGATAAATATATGAATAAGTTAATAAAGTAAAAAAATTTTGATAATTTGAATTTATAAACAATTATAATATATTTGTAAATAAGTATAATATTAATAGGATATAAATTTAATAAATGTATTAAAAAAAAAAAATCTACTATATTTTTATGAAAAAAAAAAAAATACTCTATAAATTGATGAATAGAAAATATTTTTATATAAAAATCATAAAATTATAATTGGAAAAAAAATGAAAAATGAAAAAGGGCTTAAACTAGTCATTTTCCAATAAATTAATTTTTTTCCTAATTAAATGCATATTTCTCATTGACACCTAAAACTCCTTTTTTTTTGTAAAAAATTTATTTAAAATACCACACACATAATACATAGTTTAAAATCGTATTTTTATTAGTTTCAAAATGTAAATAAAAGTCTTACACTATTCATTCCATGATAAAAAATAATAAAAATATTCCCCAAATTAGACAGTTAAAACATTGTATCAAAACTCCTATTCTCACTTTAAAACATTACATTTAAGGCTGAGTTTCAACATAAATTTTACTATTATAATATTCAATCTACAACAAATAACATCTTCCACATCATACACATATATATTCTATTAAAACATAAAATCCAACTCAAAATTTCAATTTAAAAGAAAAAATAAATAAAAATAATAATCACATATCTAATACTCCCTTCCATATAAATGCATATTTTTTTGTTACTTTTTATCTTTATAATAAAATAAACAAAAAAAAAAGTATTATTTTCTACTTAAAAATACATAAAAAAGTTCAAATACTTTTATGTAGCAGAAATAAGTACCTAATTTTATTTTTTTAATTATATTTTAAAACAAAAACAAGTAAACCCATAACAGAAAAGTAATGCAATAAGAAACCATATCCAGTAAAATATTTGTTAGCATAGTATTGTGCCATGTAGTACCTTAAAATTCAACTTGGTAGATTTGCAGCTGTTGTTGAAAGGGCAGAGTTGAATGAAGACACCTGTGACCTGTTTGGTAGTGTAGCCTAACCACCTCTGCACAAACAAACATTAATCCTGCAAACATATGTCAGACAGACACACACATTAATATAGTAATGGCTACTATTGCAGTCAACTAAAATTTATAGAGAATGGGACAAGATTAAATATATATATATATAACCAAAATAAAAAAAATACATATTCATATATATATACACAAATATTTATATCCACTCTAGAGAACAAACATGTATGAAATAATTTCAGCAAAATTTTGTCATTCAGTGAAAAAAAAAAAAAAAAAGGGGGATAGGACAGCACAAATAGTAAGATGCTAAATCACAAGACATGTTACTTATGAGGATAATTAAATTTAAATCCTATGTTTACGACATATAACCTAACATATCATATATATAGATGAAATATTAAGAAACATGCATAAAGTTGGTGTAAGGAGAGGTCAAGCAATAATGCTATAAAAACTTCTATGAAGCAGCTGCAATGCAGAAAACTTTAATTAAGAATTCAACTTCACAAAAATTCCCAACAGAAAACTGAAGTTCCTATAGCTTAGATGATGCCGATTTTGTTTGCAACGTCCAAAGCGTCGTAGTCGGGTGTCAGCCTAACATATGCCTTCTTAGTGCCATCCGGCCTGAAATATAAATGATGTAGCAGTCAAGATACTAATAAAACATATCCATAGAACTAATTAGGTTTCAACTACATGATTGGAAAACAAATTTGATAATATGCTTCGCCATTTCCAAGTTATGTAAAGTAGAAAATATTATGATGTTTATGGAGGAATGGGATCTAGTCCAGGTTGGGTATAGAAACAGCCATTGTAAAATTATAAAATTACAACAAAATCCATTTTTTTAAAAGCTATAATATTTTTGTGACGAGGGAACCAATAATTACAAGAATATTGGACATATAGATACATATACAAATTGGGGCATGAAGTAAAGTAGTACATCCGATCATTTTTAAAATAACTTGACTTGGAAGCATATTAAAAAAAAATTAAAATTTTGTATCCATGTGTTATAGCAATTGAAGTAATGAAATAATCCGATACCTGACAAGTGTGTTGACCTTCTTGGTCTGAATGTCGTACATTTTCTTAACGGCATCCTTGATCTTCTTCTTGTCAGCGCGAATGTCAACAATGAAAACAAGGGTGTTGTTGTCTTCAATCTTTTTCATGGCAGATTCAGTTGTGAGAGGATACTTAAGAATCTGGTAATGATCAAGTTTGTTGCGAGGTGGTGCACTGATCCGCGGGTACTTGGGATTTCTCTCCTTCTTCAATGTCCTTGGTCGATGGAAAGTAACTTTAGTGCGGATCTTCTTCGACTTCTTCTTAAAGGCTGTTGCACCCGATTTCACAGCCTTTGCTGTCTTCAAGGCCTGAGCCTTAGGATCTGACTTCTTTGCAGGATCAGCTGCACATAAGATTAAGGGTAAAATTAACAAAGACAATAAGAGTATGATCACAGGATGATGTCAAATCGTTCGACTACATCAAACAGATGATAATCTATTTTATAAAAAGCATATTACTTTGTCGGGAATAGGGCATATACATCTAGTTGAATACAACACTCGTTGATAATATCCTTTGAGTTGCATAGCAACAGAAAATAGCCTTTTCGAAGATGGATGACTTTTCATTTACAACCAATCAAAACTATAATTGTGTTTGTTTGTGATTTCAACCTTTTTTTTTTTTTTTTTTGTTCATCTTATTCATCCTGAAATATTTCTCTTTTTCATTTAAAACAAAGTATCCAAAACCTATTTTCCCAATAAAAGATATCCAAATCCAAGACACAAACTAACACACTCATCAATGTCAATAGGAACACAATTAAACTAAAACAGAATCCTAGTGTAGAGCCATAATATACATTTCTAGCTAGGCAAGAAATAAATATGATTCCAAATTCAAAATTATCTCGAATGCAAACATATATGTAGGATAATAAATCAATAGACATAGCCGATCTCGACGTGATGAATGCCACAATGCAACACAACTAAGAGATACAGTGTCTGAACATAACCAGCATTGTTCAAATCCTTATCTCAACGTCCAAATTATAACCAAGTAGCTACATCTAAACACTAGCATGATAAATACACAATGGTTCTCAATCTATTACACAAAATGTCACGAAGATCTCTATCCATAATCCTTCGCAACAACAACACAGCATTAATCAAATTCCAAAAAACCAAGTTTCAGGTGTGCCTTTAAGTTCTACACAGAAAACTCACAAACAAAGACACTAATCTTAAATAATGCTTCAAAAAAAAAAAAAATCCAATAACACCACAGCTTCTTCACGAAATCGTACAGATTAGAAGTCATACCTTTAGCCGGCGCCATCTCGAACCGAAGCAAACCCTACACGACCGTAAAACCTCACCTGCAACGAAAAAATAAAATAAAAAATCGCTCAAAATAACCCCCAACGAAAAATCCAAGCGCCATTGCAAACAAACTCAAGCGAAAAAACAGCAAAAACGAAAAGCCACAGCGAAAACCTGAGAAGACGAGTACCTGCGCTGCCTCCTTGCTTGCCAATGCCAATCTAGGGTTTTCTAAAGAGCACCATATTCTAAAGTGAAGAACTAATTGGGCCTAAGGCCCGCATTTGAGGCCCAAAACCAAAACGGGCATCAATCTGAGCCGTCCGATCTTCGAACATCAAAGATGGAGATTCCAGTTTGATCATGAGGTATAGCTTTCATTGCGCCAAACATCCTCGAAACAAGAAAACGACAAAAACCCCAATTTCTGTCACATAATAGTACAAGAAAATGACATGACCGTGGGCCTTTTGTCAGGCCCAAATAACACTTTCCTAAAACAATAAAAAAATATATATATTTATATAGTGGGGTGGAATGGATCGGGCCCAGTGGGGCACGTGAGCCCACGTGACGGGGCCACTAAAACACAAACGACGATGGCCGCGCGCTTAGCAAAATCCGGCCTAATCTCCTCCCGACCAATCGCGTGCCGTCTCCCACGTGGGACTGCTGACTCCCCTCTCGAATACCTCATCTCTCTCTCTCTCTCTCTCTCTCTCTCTCTCTCTCATCTTCTTTAATTCTCTCTCTATATATACATACATACAGTCGTGCAGTTTTACGCTTTCAATTTTTATATTAGTAGAGTATTATTGTTATTTCTGCTGTCAATTGTGATTTTTCTTCTTTTTCTTCTTCCTCGTTGTAGTCTGTGCTGTTCGTTGTTGGTGCCCTAGATTGGACGGCTGGGATTGATTGATGATCGATCGAGTGGTGTGAGGAGTTTCAAAGGTGCAGGGAAGATACCATACTTACCTCTCTCTCTCTCTCTCTCTCTCAATATATATAGATATAAGATAGAAGATCATGGGATCGGAATCTGCTTCTTCGTCGTCGTCTTCGTCTTCTTCAGCTCAGTATATACATATGGTAATTCTGGTTTTCTAATTTCAAGGTTTTTGATATGTGGAGTGTATGTTTCTCTCTCTCTCTCTCTTTCTATATTATATATATATGTATATGTGGGCGTACCTGCAGGTACAGTACCTCTCTCTCTCTATATATATATTTGTTTATGTATGGAGAGTGTGTAGTGTAGTGTGAGTGAGTGTTTGTCTCTCTCTCTCTCTCTGTCTCATATATGCACGAACACACACATAATTACACTTTCTCTGTCTATATATATATATGATATATAATATAGGTGCAGCACCTGATAGAAGAGTGCATAGTGTTCAAGATGAGCAAAGAGGAGTGCATGGAAGCCCTTTCCAAACATGCAAATATCACCCCAGTCATTACATCTACAGGTACCCTACCCCAGTACCCCCTACACCCTACCCACACTTGCAACCTTTTATTTATATTAGATATTTTTCCAACTTTTTATTATATAAACAAGTATTTATATAGTAAATAAATAAATATTATTTTCCTTACGAAACAATTCATAAATAACTCAAGTTTTTATTATTCCTTTCTTTCTTTATTATTTTTCAATTTATTATTGTACATGATTAAAATAATTAAAAAAATAAATATAATTCTCCCTATTCAATTCAAAATATTTTCTTTAAACAATATTGTTCTAGTTGAATCAAAACACATGCAATAACATTATATATATATTTATAAATAAAATCCTCTCTCTCCCCCTCTCTCTGTCTCTCTATCTCTCTCTCTCTATATATATACACATGTATTTGTGTGTGCATGAAATTAAATAATTAATTAATTAGGAGTGAGTGGTAGTGCAGTGTGGAAGGAGCTGGAGAAAGAGAACAAGGAGTTCTTCGAGGCCTACGCAAAGAAGATATCATCATCTTCATCAACAACGCAGATAACTAAAAGTGCAGAATAATTCGATTAGATTATATATATATATATATTAATTAAAAAAATATCTGATCGATCGATTGATCAAGCAGTAGGAGTATGACTGTATGAGTGTGAGTATGCAGCAGCTGTGATCTGATGTTAAATAAATAAATAATATATATATATATATATATATGACGATGGAGGTAGGTGGTTGGGCAATTAGGACAGCGATGTATGAGAATGGATACAGCAGTACCCAACACCCGTCGCTATCGTCGCCTATATAGGCTCTTATATATAATCATTTAATACTACCTCTGTCTATTATTAATTCATATAAATTGGTGAATAAATAAATATATTAATTATAGGGTGTGTTTGTTCGAGGGTTTGGATTTTGAGTTGGGATTTGAATAGTAAAAATTTTGAATTTGAATAGTTGTACGATGTGATATAAATAGGTGTCAATGTGATGTTTTGAATGTAAAATTGATTTTTAGTATAATATAAAAAATAAAAAATAGGGGTTTGATTTGATGTTTTTGGGAAGAAAAAAATTGGATGAAAAGTGTAAATTCAATCCAATCATCCAAACAAACACACCCTAAGTGATTTATACAGTACTCCCTCCGTCCCAAACAATGTGCAACATTTGTTTTTAGGTGGATAGTATTAACTAGAATAATTTAGTAATTAAGTGATGCGATGGAGAGATAAATATATATTTTATTTTTTTATTTGTGTGATGGGATGAGATAAAGTGTGGAATAAATATTAAATATAATGAATTATTTTTTATTTTGAAAATATTGCAAAATGTTTGAGACATATAAAAAAAAAAAAAAAAAAAAAAAAAAAAAAAAAAAACAACAACAACGTTGCAAAGGTGTTTGGAAAGAAGATAGTAGTATATATTACAATATGATTCTTGAATGATCCCCTGGCGTTGAATATATATATAATTGGATTGGATGCGATACGAGGAAAAAGGACTAGGTACTCGAGTGTATCTATGTTGCATCGTACTCTCTACGTGTGTGTTCGTTAACGAATTTTTCCGAAAATTTACTATTTATCATTTTTTTTTAAGAAATCAAATTAAATATTTATCTTTATTTTTTATATTATATATACTAAAAAAAAATTTAAATTCAAAACATCTTATCAATATCGATTTATATGGCATCATATAACTATTTAAATTTAAATTTTTTAGTATTTAAATCTAATCATAAATATTATTGCTACATTGTCTATATTACAGTAAATATAAAAATTTAACAAATTATGTAGAACGATCAAAATACTAAATTATGTGGAACGAAATGAAATGAGTATTTTTTATTTTTTTTTTTATTTCGATATAGTTTATATCTTTTTATATTATAATTATTTGTATATTTAATTTATTTCAAACAAAATTTTAAAAAAAAAATATTTTATTAATTTACTAATATATTCTTTAAAATATTTTTAATTAATATTTCAATTACCAATATCTTAAGTGCATAGTGTCTGCAAAACTTGCACACAAATTGGGACAGTGGTTCGACTCGAGACTTAATTTAGACTCTGATATATAGTCGAATCCAAAATGATCGTCTTACCTAAAAATTCAAATTGTTAAAGAAACGTAGCAATTAATTATTTATAATCAAGCGGAAGTCTTCAACAAGCATAACATGTGTTTTCTGTCTATTTTAAAAGCATGACTATTTTACATGTTCTAGGCTAATTTCTCCAAATCAATACAATAATAATTATCATATATATATATATATGTAGTGGCAAAGTTAAAGTTAATGGGCAGAATTATTTTGAGCAGAATTAATAGTAAAAATATATGTTTTGTCGTATTTATTAATATAAAAATATTTATTAATTAAAAAGAATTGATCAAATTTGAATAGACAGACCAATAATATAATCGATTGTTGGTGTTCCGTAAGAGATAATTTAGTGGCGAAAATTGAACTTGTGATCATAAATTCAAATTCTTGACACTTCAGTCAGCTTATCCAACCTAATTTGCAACTGTTAAAAAAATAATAATAATAAATAAAATAATAAATAAATAAATAAATAAAAGAAGACAACGATTGTGGGTGTGTTTGGCATTAATGAAATAATAGAACATTATTGGAGGAACAAATTAAATTAAACTGGAGCGTGTGGGCGTTATCACGTTGGGAGATGTGACTGTTTGTTTGTGTATTTATATGCATCTCTGTGGACTTGCAATGGGTGATCGACACGTGGCAACATGGGCATACCTTCGCACGTATCGCACCCTTCATTTATTTCTCTATTTTTATTTTTATTTTAAAATTTTCAAAATTCTCATACATAACTCAATTCATAGCAATTTAAGGCATTAAATTATACTTCTTCCGTCCCAAATAATGTGCTTAACATTTACTTTTGGCACAGATTTTTAGGTGGATAGTATTAAGTATGATAATTTAGAAATTAGATGATGTGATGAAGAAAAATATATATATTTTATTTTTTTATTTGAATGATGTGAGGGGATAAAATGTGAAGTAGATATTAAATATAATTAATTATTTTCTATTTTAAAAATGTTGCAGAGTGTTTAAGATATACCAAAAAGTAAATATTGCAAGATGTTTGGGACGAAAGAATTATCAAATTAGTACTAAAATAGATGATCTCGAAAAATATTCATGTGGCATAAAAAAAATATATTTCATTTATGTTAAAATGTCTTAAATTTGGTATTTTAATATTTTGTTGTCATATCTATGAGTTGTATGAAATTTTGTTGACGGCTCAACAAGTGAAGTCCAGGGACAACTCCCCACAGAGGTGTCCAATCAACTAAATTTGATTTGATTATTATAAATATTCGTTACGATATAATTCTGCGTAAAGCCAACAATGATCGATTCGTGTCGAGTTGAATATTTTAAATGGGTTAAATTACTCAATTTTAATCCGACTCGTTTATCATCGTATCGGGTTCGTGTTAACTCGTTTATTATCGTGTCGGGTTCGGATTGACTCGTGTTGAACCGTATATATAATTAAGTCTAATTTCTTGATTCAAATTAAATAATTTTTTATTTTTGTTATTGTGTTATGTTAGTTTTTATTGGTTTGAGCGTAAATTATATTGAATTATTTTAAATTGAACTTAGTTTAAATTAATTTATAAAAAAATTATTAAATTATGATTATTTTCTATATATAATAAATATATTAATCAATATTAATATATTATAATCGGATTGTCGTGTTGGGTTCGAGTTGAGAGCCTAAACTCTAACCCGACCCGTTTATTATCGTGTCGGGTTTGTGTCAACCCATATACATAATCAGATTGATATATTTGATTAAAACCCAATTATTTCGTGTCGGATCGTGTCAGATCATTTTTTGCCAGCTCTAACTTTGAGTGTAATAAAACTATTTTTCTTATGGATTCTTTTATTATTATTATTTTTACTGTATTCGTCACTATGATTCATTTTTTTTACATATACTATTTTTTACTTTTTACATTTCAATGCAAAATACTATGTTTTAATATTTTTGTTTATTTTATTCAAAAGTATTAATTTTTTATTTTATAAACAAAATATATAAATTAATATAAAAATACTTTTAATGGCACACGTCCAACCCCATACCACCGTGTCATTATTTACGGGACTATTTTCTTAAATATTTTTGTTTTAAGATATGTTGTGTGTGTGTGTGTTTTTTTCACCTCAATTATTTTGTTTAAAATTTGGCAATCATCCTTAATTGTACATCACCTTAAATATATACTCCCTTCGTCCCACGTACAGAGTGCTACACCGTAGAGACGGTATTTTAGAAAAAATGTAATTAATAGATAATTAAAAATGTATTAGTAAAAATAATTATCTCATAATATAAATAATTATAAATTAAAATTAAGATAAAATGACATGGTATGTGGGACGAACAGAAATGACAACGTGGACATAATATGTGGAACGAAGGGAGTATAAAAATATCATATATTTGAGGTACGTATTTTCGAATAACCGTTGCAGACTTTCAAATCATTAAAAATAAAATAAAATAATCAACAAAATCTATATAATATAATAAATAAATTCTTCCTATTGAAGAGATCTTTGTCTTTTTTTCTTGAGTCGTGCCTTGGTCCCTATGCTATCATTACCCTAGTCCTAGTCGTCCTAGGCTATGCAATTTTATTTTATCTTTTTTTAAGAATTGGCAATCATCTACTTTTAGCTTGTAATATTTGTTTCGTTTTCATTTTCTTCACTCCGATGTATATTTAAATACAATTTTTTTATTATTATTTTTTATCCGTTTTACTTAAAAATATTAATTTTTAATTATAATAAAAGTAATAACATCTAAATACTAGAATACTCATAATTATTTTGACAATACTATTAATTTTTTGTATTTTTAAAGTCATAAATATCAAAATCATCTTATACACCTTTATGGATAAATAAAATATTTCCTCCGTCAGCCTTTATGATCATGTTTATTGTTTGTGTTATTGTATTTAACATTAAAAATATTTTTATATTTATATAATTTTTATACAAATGTAATATGAAAATTCGCAGTTGCTACCAAAAGTGTGCACTGGGTAAACCCCGAAAAAAATATTATATCCTACAAACTAAGTCCGACAAGAAAAATTACACTAAGCGAACCATGTGTGACAAGTGAACATTAAAACGTCGGGATTTGAGATATAATATTATTTGTTTAATCTACTATAATTTTTTTGAAAAAAATATAGATTAAACAAATGGAATATTATTGAAAGGGTGTGCTTGTTTTGCATTTCTAGTTTGAGATAATTCCTATGTGAAGTATAAAAAAAATTATGTCAGCAATATTAAAAATAATATTTTATATTAAATTGTTTAATTTTTTTTTAAAAAAGGCAGAGTATATATATTTATACATTTTAGATAAATATATATTATATTTATAATATGAATTAAAAAGTGTGTCGAAATATTTTTATGAAAAAGCACATCATGTATTTATGATTTGTACAGTAAATAACAATATATATATTGGAACACGTGGCCCAATTAAAATCTAACTGGGCTTTCGACATTTCCTTACTGGGCTAAACATAAAAAAGAAAAAAAGGAAAAGGCCCAACAGTAATCTCGCTTTCCCAAAACACGACATCAGTTGTAATTGTACGTCACTGCAGAGAATGTAACCGAACCGAACGTTTCTCGGTCTTCGTCTTCCAAGGACGACATTATTCATCGGTTTCTGGAATTAATTATTACCTGAGAAGAAGGAAGCGAAAATCTGTGTGATAAATCGGGTGACGTCAGCTCAGCAGGTTTTCATGGTAAGTAGTAGTTTTAGAGTGTGTTCGGAGAAAGGAGGTAAAGATTGTGGCTGTAAGAGGAAAGGGGGAGAAAGGCCTCGGAATCCCCGGCATTCCATTTTTAGAAACTTCATTACATGATTGAAAGCTCCTTCTCACGATTTTCGGACTGCGTCGTCTTCTTCGGGAAATTAATTCTAAAGAGCTCTGCTGTGTCTTGTTAACAAGCCATTAATGGCAGGGGTTTTTATTTGGAGTTGTATACGTTATTTCTTTGAGAAAAAATAATTAATTTTTATAAAAATATAGATTTTGTTTGGTTTTGCTATTTTAATATTTTTTTATTAAATTATTACTCCCTCCTTTCAAGTTTTGTATTAAATAAAGATATAATAATATTTTATTTATTAGTGGAAGTGGGTAAGAGATTTTCACATTTTTGTTAGTTGACTTTTCTTGTATGTATAATGTATTGTTTGTAATTTAGATAAAAATTACAAGTATTTTTGAATTAGCTTATTATTATTTTTTCTAAATAGAAAATATATACGGACGAAAATGGCAACAATGATACTTTGAATTGAGACGAAAAAAATATTATTTATTGATTATATTATACTCCCTCCGTCCCAACCAAAATAAGAAAAAAAAACAAATTGATAGATTGTTAAGAGACGGAGGAGAAGTACCTTTTTATATTTAAGGGTGTGTTTGTTTGAGGGTTCGGATTTTGAGTTGGGATTTGAATAGTAAAAATTTTGAATTTGAATAATTGTATAATGTGATATAAATAGGTGTTGATTTGATGTTTTGAATGTAAAATTAATTTTTAGTATAATATAAAAAATGAAAAATAGGTGTTTGATTTGATTTTTTTGGAGGAAAAAATTGGATGAATAGTGTAAATCCAATCGAATCCCCCAAACAAACACACCCTAATAAATTTTACTAATTTAATGCATATTTATTAAATTATAAATCGATTTAATTAACTAGGTAATATATAACATCATATATCATTATAATCCACTTAAAATCTTTTATTTATATTTAAAATTATTTCTTTTGTTAAATTTTTTTATATTAATTATAAATAAATAATATTTATATTATATAAAATTTTATTTTTTTACAAAATATATCTATATTATTATTATTTTTTATAATAAAAAGTATATATACATTTAAATGACATGGAAAATATATAGAGATAGATACGTGAACGGCGGCACGTGCATGTATATCCTTACATACATGCATTATGGCATGTAACGTTGTCTTTATGTATGTAATATATATATGGTATATAATTGGTGTATTTCATGTCTACCTTCGACAATGTTTAATATCATGGAAAGCTTTTGTCCTTTTTTGCCACTTTCATTTTGTTCATCCCCCCAGCCTCGACGCCTTTTTAATTTAATTGTTTTTTTTTTTGTTTTTAATTTCATATATTCTAATTTAGTAAAAATATGCCACGTGACTATATGTACATATATGGCAGCGTTATTTTTAATTGATACATAAAGATTTTATTTTATTTATTTATTTATTTATTTATTATTATTATTATTTTATAACGTGCAAATATGCCGCCGCTATCCGAAAATACGCACTGGATAAACCTCAGGTCAGACTTAATACCTTGCAAATTAAGCCCGACAAAATAAGTTATATTAGACGAATCATGTGTGGCAGATAAACATGAAGTGCCGGAGTTTTAGTACATAGAACACTTGTTTTGTATTTTAATTTGATATGTTTCTTAAATATTAAGTGAAATATATCGATAATATAAAAAAATTAATTAAATTATAATTTTTTATTTATATAAAATATAATATATTTTGTGTGAATATATATATATATTATATCTTTTATAATATTAATGTAAAGTATATACCAAAAAAATGGTGGAAGCATACTTCAATAATTTATGTTGTGTGTATATATATTTTTTTAAAGGATCTTTGAATATATTAAATATTATTTTTAAAAGGATCTTTGAATATATTTTTATTGAATATATTAAATATTACTCCGTCTATCATATATCAAGTGATTCGTTTTCCTTTTTACTCTGTTTCAGAGAGATAATTTATTTTTATTTTTAATTAATTTATCAATTTTAAATATATTTAATAGATTAAGTCAGGTGTTAGAATTTTTGTGTTGAATACTTAGGGTGTGTTTGTCCGTGTGTTTTAGTTTTTCTGTTTGAATTTTTTAAATAGTAAAAATTTGAATTTGAATAATTGTTTGATGCTATATAAATAAAAGTTGATACGATGTTTTGAATGTAAAATAAATTTGTATTATAATAATAGAATAATTATTGTTTGATGTGATATTTTTTAAGGAAAAAATAATCTGAATAATAAAAATTTTATGGTAAAATCCACAAAAGAATACAACCTTAAAATTTATTTAGTTTAATTAAAATAAAAAAAATACTTTTGAGTGAAACAGACGAAAATAATAAAAATAATATAAGCACCATTTTTTCTTTAGTGTACAAAAAAAAATATTAAAATAACTAAATAATTTATTCATGATTAAAATATTATAGATTATGAAATATAAAATGTATAATAATAATAATAATTATTATTTTAAAAAAATGACATTAATACATGAGAGATGGATTGAAATAATGGAAGAAGCATATTTTTATATAGAATTATATTTCATAATAATTAAAAGAAAAAGAATATAACTACTTACCCTTTATTTATCTTTGAATTTAAATTTGAATTTTGGATTTACCGGTCAAAATAACCAGCTAAAGTAAATTAAGATAATATTATATTCATTCTCTTAATCCCTAAATAATATTACATGTAAAATGCTATTACATTTCCATATAAAAATATTTTTACTTTATGCAATATTTGCAAAAGATTACATGTGTATTTCAATTTGAAAATAAATACTCTCTCTTCCATATAAGTATTTATTTACTTTTTTTTTTTTAATTTCGTCCATCAATATAATTTAATTTTAATCACATTTAAAATTTTATAATTTATAAATTTTTTAAATACACATAATTATTTTTTAAAATTCATATATTATATATATTTATTATTTTTATAGTATTATCTACACAATTTCTCATACTTTATATAATTTTTTTCAATTATTTTACAAAACAAACAAAAATGTGATCCCAAAATATAAGTAAATTAAATTTATAATTTTTATTACACACGAATGACGTCATATCTCCCTCTAGTCGATACAACCTATGTCTCTTAAATTAAAATTATCCTTAATTCATATAAATAAGTAATGCTGACTCATCCAGATTACGTAGCATTAATGTATTATACCATCCAAAATAAGGGCCTGTTTGCCTGTAATAATGCATACGCAATCCCATTATCTACATTTAATTGTACCAAAGGCGTTTCACCAAACAGGTCGCAGAGCTTATCTCCACTTTGGATTTTTGCCATCAAAATACGGAACGCTGTCGTCGATATTTTGCCAAAAATAGACCAAAAAATAATTTATTCGAATTTATATAATTACGTGGATTTTCCGGGGTCCGCCACGTGTCCGTGGGCCCCGTTCTCTTTCACCCCCTTCCGAGAAAACCACCACAGCCCCCACTCTGCATTTCAGTGTTCTGCTCAAATTCGAATTACGGCAAATCTCTCCTCTCTCTCTCTCTCTCAATCGTGAATTGCTCCGCCGGCGGTTGCTCGGTTGTTATGGCGTTCTGCTGTCTCTGCGTCGTTTCGAGGTATCAGTTTGTGGAAACGATTATGGTTGTTCGGTTATTTATTTTCGTTTTAGCTTGCCTTCTCGATGCTTGTTTGTTTTGTTTTGTTAGTGATTCGTAGAGGTTTTAGATTTTGTGTTTTTGGTGCGAATGTGTCTTTCGTGAGCAGACGTTTCGATTACGTTAAATGCGACTATGCGATTGAGTTGATTTTTTATTTTTTTTTTGTTGATGATTGTAGGAGCTATTATTGAATCGAGCTGCATTCGACGATCGCTTCTATGGCGTCGCGGTTTCTTCGCGATACTTTCGATTTGATCGATTTGTTCGTGATTATGAGTTTGGTTGCTGGAGAAACGGCGCTTTATTTTCTATAAAAGAAAAAAAAAAGGTTTCGCACTTTTGTTTTACCTTTTTTGAAAAACAATTGTTCTGTTGGTTGAGAAAGTTTTGTCACTAAAAATGGAGAGAAGTCGGTGCGGGAAGGCGAAAGGGATTTCAGGCATTGGAGGTATGAATTTTACGATCCCATGCGAAACATCTACATTTACTTCCATTTATGTTTTCTTCAGAAGTTAACGTGATGATTGCTAGCGTGTTTTGTACTCTTTTGGCCAGCATTTTCCTCCTCCACTTTTCACCCCGCAGTTTTTTCTAGGGGATTAAAAACAGCGACCTCAGTTGTTTTTCACTGTGACCTCTGATTTTTTCGTGTCCTGATTCCAGAAGTTTTCTTTGGAAATTACGTATGTTTGGATTTTTTATATTACTTTTTTTAAGAATAATTAACTATAATATATTTCTAGTAGTTTTTTAATATATTTTGCTCCAATGTGAACGGATTTGGCTGATGTATTAAAAGAGATTTTTAATCCCGAAAGCAGGAAAAAAATGTCTCTATTTTTTAAATAATAGATATAAGAGCCCCCTCTCTCTTTAATAATTCTTTTTCACCGGGCCCGGAGCTTTCTTTTATCGTAGGTCTAATCTAATCGCAAAACCCATTTTACAAAATTAAGAAGTAGCCTCGTAGGCAGAAACCCATCAGCCCATCCCATTAATTTCCTTGAAAGTAAATATTTCCGTGACCTAAAACCTTACAACATCGAATCATTGCAGCAAAAAGGAATCCTTACTGAAAAAAAGGAGAAGAAGAAAAAAAGGAATCTTTACTATTTTCTTTCTTTTCCTGATGTGTTCATATATTTTCTTGCTTTGTCGAATCGTGGAGTTAACAAATGGGATTTCTTATCACGGATGCAGTTTGTGCTTAAAGTAAGTTTGGTGATAAATGGAACAGGAACTTTTTTTTTTGGTCGTGGAATCGGCAATATTTTGTTCCTCTTTAACATTCTTCGCTTATGATGGCTAATAATTGATGGTCCATAGTCCATTCATATATAATCCAGTACTAAGAGAGCCCAACTCCTCAATGTCCTTTACAGTTGGTGTCTAATAAATTTCTTTCTCAGCTTGTTAGGTTATTCTCCAAATATACATTTTCTTATTGATTTGTTATGAACATGAAGAATTATTATGACTTGTTCGTAGCCTATGACGTGTGAGATTTTCAATTTATGCTGAACTTGGGAAGAGTCTTTTCTTTAAATGAGCTCCATGTTAATCAGTTCATAGATTCTGATGCTTATTTTATTCCTGACATGATTCTGTGTATTAATTTATTCTGCATTTTCAATTTACATATGAATAGATTTTGATGTTTCAGTTTCAAACATTTCTGCAGGAGCTAATCATCTTCTGAAACACAAAGCTCCTACTGGCTTATCTTTGGAATCTTCTTATTGTGATGGAAGCACCAGAGACCATAGGGTTATTTCTACAAACCGTTTGCGAAAACACTCATATATTTTGATGTAACTTTAGATGTTGAGGCTGGAGTTCCGCTAATGTTGGATGTTAATGTTGAATTTTTATGCAGTTTCTGTTGGAGGTGGGGCAGGGCTCCACTAGACGATCCCATGCAAGGCCACTGGTGAAGCTATTGGCAGAAATGTACAAGGGAATGAAACCCAAGAGAAAATCATCAAGCTTCATCACTAGATTGATGGGTAGAGACCGGTGGCAAACCCAGGGACATGTTGATAGAAACCAAAAAGGTTTGTCTGACAGCTATCTACAGAACAATGGCCCTATTGGTATCCAAGAGAACAATCCTAGAGGCAGTCACAGGAATCATGCTATAGTTTTGGAGCCATCAAACACTGATAAGTATGAAGGCAATGCAAAAATATTAATATCAAAGAGAGATTTTTCGTGTAAACGTTTGTTTTCTCATCTGGAACGTAAAGATGGCCTTCTTCTTGATCCAAATTATCGCCACAGAGCTCATACCTCTAACTTTCAACTTGAGCAGAAGAATGCGGAAGTGATGAGTGCATCGGGTATATGTCTCCTGAAGCCAAACCTTAAGAACATGCAGACTTCAGGTATGCTTAGATCCTTTTGTGATTGATCATTTGTCTATGTACCTATATTTGGGGAGCTAATGAATATTCATGTGCAGGAAGCGGACATGATGTGCCTGCAGATAAAAACAGGAGAACTACAAGGAGGTTGAGAAATGCTTATGCCAAATCCTCACATACAAAAACTTCATTGTTAAAAGGGTATGACGGGGATGAGAGTTCTTTTGATGCTCAAGAAAGTGATTCTGACTGTGAGCAGGAGATGCTTGTATTGCCATCTAGAGATTCCTTCTGGTCACGGAAAAAATGGAGCAGATATCCATCTTCTGGTTTAGTTGAAGGTGTAAACAGGAAGGCAAATAGGAAACCATCTGAGAAATGGAGAATTACTGAAAAATATCAAGACTTGGAAATAGTTTTGAGGGAGAGCACATCAGGTGGTTTGTTTTCTAGTCCTGGAGGAAGCAAAGCGCCCACTCCTTTGACTGCAAGGCCAAGTTTTGGTATATTAAACTCTCAACTTGGAAGCAATAGGGGAAGTGTTATGTTGGAAGACCTTTCGCGTATCAGAAGTATAGATGGCTGGAAAGTTAAAAATCAGGAAACTTCTGCTAGATCAAGTTCACTTCCACCAGTAGCTAGCAGGAGCAACAGAGAAGGCACATATCATGATTCATTGGCTGAAAAGAATAATCTTTTGTGTGGTGAGACCACACGATATTGCAGAAGAAAGGCTGAGAAGGGAAACATGTGTTTCTCTGAAAATGCTCACGATACAAAATCCAGGAGTGCAAAGCGTGTTCCTTGTCAGCATAGAGAAACATTATACTTTTCAGCGCAAGCTGAGTTTGAGCTTCAAATGGAAGCAAATGTGAAGAACATAGCTGGACATCACTTCATGTTTCATTTTGATGCAAAAGATGATGGCTGTGGGAGTACTGGATCAAACATAGTGGTCTCTGAACATGAAAGTACAACTCTGTCTTTTAAATCTTTTCCGTTGGATTCTGAGCAGTCTTCAGGTAGAGATGAAGACAAAGCTGCCATCTGCGACGAAGATGATTCCTGTCTCCAGGTATGAATCTTCACTACCCTCAACATATTATCTGTGATTTGTGCTTAAACATCATAAAAATTTTGCGGTTGAACCTTCATTTAATCTAACGGCAAACAGCTGCACTCTGCCTTCTTCTCAATTCGTTCTTGCTGTGCATGTACTTTGAAACTGAATATCAACATTTTATTTTTCCTAAAATTTGCAAATGACATACACAAGGTTGAGGTTCTCTTATTATATTGTGAAGACTTGTGTGTTGGTAGTTGACAGAGGGTTTGGGAAGAGTATATTGTGCTTATTTTTGATAATTTGTTACAAGTAGCTGCATGATTTTCTGGTAATGTTTATTATATGTTTACTTGTCATGAATTGTTCTTTTGCCAAGAACCTTTAGTGAAACTGGAGGTGTACTAAGTACAAGCCTATAACCAAAGTGGCAATTCAAGATAAACTTTTTGCCAAACAATGAATTTATACTGCATGGTAGGCGAATGGTGCTTCTACTTGATCCATATTGTTCTTTCAAGACCCAACAACACAAATATAATAATTACAATTTTCCATGCTAAGATGATTAAGATCGTCCTTGAACCTTGCATGTGACTTGGGCTTATAGGAACTGGATACGGTTTGAATATAAGTGTTAGCAAGTGTAATAGCTTCTTTGTCCCTTTGGAAAATCTTTATTACCATGACATCAAAAAAGGAAATATCCTTTGAAACTCGGGTTTGTACTCTTGACTACTACGATTCTTTGAAAAATTCACAGGGGACAATACCTCGAATAAGCAAATATCATTCTGTTTATTCTAGTATGCAATGTTGGATGGTGGAGATCCAAGAGCATGTTTCTTGATAAGCCTTCTCTATTCTTCATGTGAAGTAGCCAATTCTAATTTTCCGAGTCCTTAACAATTGTTTTGTGGCAGGCTTTTAGATGCCGACCAAATTTTGGATTTGCCAAAGAGAAACTTGAAGTTTTGATTCAACGTGTGATTGGTTTAACTAATCACCGGTCTAAGTAAATGTTGCATGATTTCTAAACTACCTTATTTGAATAAGAGACTTTCATTTGTCAAAAACTCTCATATTTTCATGAGAAGTTAAAAACTTCCATGTTGAGCTAAGGTTTCATTCTTGTTTTCCTATGCTATTTGGCTTTTTGATAAAAACATATTTGGTATTTTGTAGCTCCTCATATATTTGTATTAGGATTTGTAATTTCATATTATCATAATAAAGTTTTATGAGTGGAAGATTATACGTTGTTATGTAGAACACCTCATTTCGTTATGACTCTATGATAGTGATGTGCTCATTTAGTAAAGTTAAAGAAACAAGATGTAAACTAATGAAACTTTTTGGACTAGCTTGTCTTGTGAAATCTGAGTTGCGTTTCAACTTTAACACTAATAATTTAGCATTTTGGCCTTATTTCCTATTGCAAATTCCCTTTCATCACTTCCACAATGGATAGTTCTATCAGTCCTTGTGGCCAACGAGTTTGTAACCTTGAGTTTATCATTTTGTGGAGTTTGTGAAAATCTTCTATAGTATAGTGGGCTTTGTATCATATATCTTTTGGTACACTTAGCTAATTATATAGCAATAAAATTATGAATTGGACCATTTAAAAGTTTCACTATAACTCTTAGATTAGTATTAGTTCTTTTGTTATCCGAAAGGTGTATTTGTTTGGGGGATTTTCCCCAAAAACTACTATTCATCCAATTTTTTTGCCAAAATAATATCAAATCAAACACCTATTTTTATTTTTTATATTATACTAAAAATCAATTTTACATTCAAAATATCACATTTAACACCTATTTATATCACATTATACAACTACTCCAATCAAAATTTTTACTATTCAAATCCCAACTCAAAATCCAAACCCCCAAACAAACACTCCCTAAAAATACTTGTGTTCATTCAAGTAAGGCGTAGAATATATACCAATAAGTAGCAATTCAAGTTTTCTTTCTTTTTTTGTTTTTTTTCAACTAAACAAAACGTGTCAAGTTTCTTAGGATTTTCAACGACCTTAGCCTGTTATATCTAGAGAGTGTACTCCAAAAGTCATGGGGTTGCTTACTTGTGTTTTCAAACTCATTTTTACACTATTCAATATACCATTTCCCTTAAAAAAAACATTACATTTCACACCCATTTTCCATTTAAAACATCACAACCAAGAACTAATTTCACTTGAAAATGATCGAAACCCAAAACATCCAAACACAAGTGATTAAGATGTATCTTATGCAATTCAAAATTATAACTTAAAATAATAAATGCACATAAGAGGTTAACGTAAGCTTACAAGCATGCTATTGGGAACAGAGAGAATTCGAGTTTGTAATGATACGATCAAGTTGAAAATAGACAATTGTACTAAGAAAGTGCAGCCGAATCATCTTAGTTTAATGGAGTATTAGCACATTAGTTTTTTGAACTAATAATCACTCACCCCTAACACAAAAGAAGGAACAATGAATTAAAAATGAAAATTGAAGGGTGTGCTCACATTGTATTTTTGGATGAATGTAATTTTTATGCTAGGTATGAGTGATTATGTCGGTAATATAAAAAAATAATATTTTCTGTTGAATTGTTGATTTTCTGTGAGTAAATAAAGTATATATATTATATATATTGTGTTAATGTATATATATATTGTATTTTTGATAATATTTATGGGAAGCCATGCCACCCGAAAACACAAAGTAAACAAACCCAAAGTCTTTTTATAGTGATGACCTTAAAACTATGATACTACAATGCTTAGACCCTCACTCCATGCTTGTGTTCTTTATCCATTTGTCTATTTATGAGAAGAATTTCTGAGTATAATGTGAAATGTTGCCTTCACCTCGGCCCATTACACAAGCTCATTATATAATTATCTTAAGTTGGAGCTTGGTAATAAATTCCCTTTGTTATGTCTGTGACACGTGGTAGAAATCAAGAAAAAATGGAAGTTTAATGCAATATGACTATGTTGGCACTAAATTCAAAACTCTCACGTGCCAAATAAGGATTAGTGTATAGAATATTCAATATTGATTCATAATAAATGATGTTGTAAAATATCATATATTGTCTGGTAATAAAGTTATGTCCTCTCATTTGCCACACTGTTCATCCTTTGTTTTTCGTAATTTATTATTGACTGGAATACTACATTTTTGTGGCGTGTTGTGCAAATATGGGATATTGTTCTATATCTTGTATTTTGATGGCCACGTGTTGAAAAGCTCTATTTTGGCATCTTATTGTTTTCTTGAAGTTGTTACTTAAGAATTATGCTTCTTTGATTTTTCATACATCTATAAGACAACTTGTTGCCTGCAGACTTATTGAATCATGTGTGTTTGTGATGATGGATGCGGATATAATTTTTATGTAACTTCTCTGTTGCGTGTATGTTATATGACTATATGCAGTGAACCCCATAATTGTCAAAGTTGCTACTCTGCGAATAATTAGAGGTCGTTGCTTTCTGCTTGAAGTTCTCTGCTTCTTTGCCCTAGATTATCAGATTTATTGACAGTTTGTGCTTTGTTATGTTTGTTCAAATTCTATTTTCAAACACATTCTGGTAGTAATGGTTGTAGAGCCGTTGAATACGTCCAGAGGAACATCCTGTTTTTATTTCATCTCTGAATTAACTTTTTGAGAAACTTAACCATCAATAGCTTATCTATCATGTCTGCTTTATTTAATCCAGTGCATTTATTTTTATAGTTTCTTAAACAGGGAAAAAACAAGTTCATATAAAATTGAACTGTTTCCATTGCGAATGTTAAGGGTGCATTCTTTGGTGTTCTTTTTATTTTTGGTATGCGTATTTTGGATTTTGATGTTTTTCTGATGAAATAGTTGTTGGACGTGATGTTTGTATTAAAATGATCATTCGATGTGATGTTTTTTAAAGCAATTGAAAGATTGTATAGTGAAAAAAATGGAAAAAATCTGAAAGAGAACAAACCCTGGGTATTTTCTTAGTAGTTCAACATTTACCTCTGATGCAGTTTTTTTTGATCGGAATGATGCAGTTTTTGGTGATTTGAAAAGTGCCTTGTCAATTCCCATGTCATCGCCGTGATGTCTTGTTTTTCTTGTGATCTGGGATACTTCTAGTTTGGTTGCTTGACTGATTTTGCACACACTTATGTTTATGAGCTATTATATTTTAGGAACCACTGGCGGCACCACCTGAAAAAGCTACTTCTTCACAGCCTCCCAAACCTGCTACTGAATGCTCAAAAGAGGCAGCTGATCGAACTAGCCCTGTTTCCGTTCTCAATGTCCCTTTCGAAGATGCATCATCTTTCTCGGAAAGTTTCAATAGAATAAATGCTGCATTCCATGGTATAAAACTTCCACCTCTCTCTCTCTCTCTCTCTACACACACACACACATATATATATATATATTGCACTTGTGCCTGTCTTAGGAATTCCCGAAGTTAATTTGCAAAACAGATTTTGTTATAAAGAGTCGCGCCTTTTGCATTACACGAGCATGCAAAAAAATCCTAGCTTTTACTTTCTGCGATTTTTTATTTTTTTAATTTTTTGGTCTTGGCATGTAGAGCTCCGGATGCAACTGCAGCACCTCAACATGGATTCAATCACATGTCCTGAGGAATTGGCTCTCCATTCCCTGGAGAAAGTCATTTTCCATCTATTATTAATCCTTTCAGAGGGAAGCGACACATTCGACCCGGAAGGCTGGGAAGTGTCATATCTTCTTGATGTTCTAATCCACTCAGGCCTCCAAGAATCCGGGTTTGACATTCTCAGGCTAACATGGCATTCTCCCAACTCCCCTTTGAATCCCAGAACTTTCAATGATCTCGAGAGGAAATACAGCAACACCACCTCTGGTTCCATACCTGAAAGGAACTTGCTGTTCCACCAAATAAACTTAACCCTTCTCGACATCTTCCATCACCAGATTGACTGGTTCCCATGGGTGGCGGCTCCTGGATTAGCTCGTGTGCGGAAGAAAGGGCCGGTTTGGAACGGGTTTGAGAGGATGGCGAAGCAGGAATGCGCAGACATGAATGTAGCAGAAAGAATGATGGATAGGGAGATGCAATGGACAGACTATAGAGGAGAAATGGACATTACAGGTAAAAAAATTGAGATTTTGCTGATAGATGAAATGATAGATGATTTTTTGGTGTCACTATTGTGGGATCAAATTAATTATGATTAATTGGTTAGCTAAGCTTAGATGAAATATTGTCACTGCTGAGATCTCAAATAAACACTGATCTGTCTCTACTTTTGGTGGTTGAAAAAACTAATTGAGATTTAGGTACTATTGAATTTATTTGTGATTTTATTTATTTTTTGTTTGTGAAGTGGTGTGGTGTGGTGATGTATTGTGTGCCTACTTTGTTTTATTGGTAGTACTTAAATAAAGGACTGATAGTATAATTTTGAAAAAAAATAAAAATAAATTGTTGAGCTTAGAGCTATTAAATGAGTTGGGCTTAGTTTGTTAGTGATTCAATTAATATTTGTTTATAAAATTCGAATATTAATTTAAATTCTAAATGAGTTAAGTCAACATGTTTGAGTTGAGCCTGAACAACAAATATTTAAATCGGATTCGTTTAAGGGTTCTAATTGAACTTCCTGAATATTAACATTAATATTAATATTGATATTGCGCACCTCATATATTTCTAAACCAAATTAGTTCCACATATATATATGGATGACTTGATAAAATTGTTCTTGCAATTCTTTTCTATTCCACCTGCAAAAAAAAGAGAAATACTTTAATTTTATAAATAAAGTTGATATTGATTAAATATTATATATAGCTAAATTTAAATATGTGTGTGTTGTTTATTAGTATGATTTTATTTTTAGAAAACTAGTATTTTAATATAAGGTTATTAATGTAATATTATTAAAGTAAAATGGATGCAAAAAACAAATGAAATGAATACTTATATATGTTATATAAATAATAATTTCTAAAGACCCTAAATGTGATCCGACCTTAGCTCAGTTGGTAGAGCGGAGGACTGTAGTGCGTTCTGCTGTAATCCTTAGGTCGCTGGTTCGAATCCGGCAGGTCGGATTTTTTAATTTTCTTCATTTAATGCTTTGATATTAATTGGGCCTGGCCTACTATAAATTTAGTTTTATTAAATTGGGCCTAGACCTGTTATTATTGATCACTTAATATGTGATTCTGGGCTAACTATTTTGAGTGGGCTGCCAACGTTTTTAGTTTTGCATATACGCTTACACACTCTCATATTATTCAATCTAAAATTTTGTCTTTATCTTTCAATATAAACCCTAAATGCATTTCTAATAATCATAATAATAATCCAGCAATTAATTTTACCTAAAAAGACATTCACTTCCAATAAAATAAATATTCCATTCAATATCTATACTTGACAGTTTAGGAACTTCTTTTTCATTAATATATATCAGAAAAAATAAATAAATAAATAAGGGCACTTAAAACAAAATTTTTTAAAAAATAAGAAGGGCACTAAAAACATTTTTTTTTAAAAAAAAAAAAAAAATCCAAACTCAAATAAAAACAAACACAACCTAATATTAGCATCAAAATAAGCAAGCACCTCACATTAATGGAACCCCCAAGGTTCCCAAGAAAATAAATCTAAACTTAATCTATTCTATAATTAACAGGGAAAGGGGATGTTGTCCATCCTGGTGAATTGGTGCTCAAAGATGCAGATGCAGATGAAGATGAAGATGGCCATAGCTGGGCAGTCTTGACCTTTGAAATGCTTGAGAGGACAGCCAATGGCGTCACATTCCCACTCACTGTCACCTTCTTTGCTGCGAAATCTATGTTGAACGATCGAACTCCTACACCAACAATTCAGTTCAATTCGATTTAAATAATGATAATGGATATATGATATGATACCTAAACCTACCTTCCATTTTGGAGAGATGTTTTCTCATTTTCCTCTCACATCCTCTGCAGTGCAAAGAAACTCTCAGAACCACCACCTGCCCACACACACAATCACATACATGCATACATACATACATACATACTTTCAGATTTCAGAGAGAGAGAGAGAGAGAGATAGAGAGAGAGATGGAATTGATTGATGAACCTGGTGTTCTTCCGCATCCTCCTTATTGTTACTATTATTATCAATGGAGGAATGGTAAGGGTAAGGGTAAGGGAAAGGGTCTTGAGGTAGCAAATATGGCTCTGCAAAGGCATCTTGGTCTTGGTCTTGATCTTGATCTTCATCCTGATTCAACAAATACCTGGTAGATCCTGCAGTGCTGGAGCAGTTCTTGTGTGTGTGGATATTGATCATGGATTCATCAACATCAACCTTGGAAGAAGGGTTTCTTGACCTGTTGTTCTTGTTCTTCAATTTTGATTTGGATTTTGATGATCTATCAGATGATGACAATGGCAGCTTGGGAGTGTTGATGATGACTGGTGCTTTGGGAATGGGAATGGCAATGGCAACTCTATTAGTAGTTCTTGAAGAGTCTCTGATGATGGGATTGTATCTGTCTATGGCAGGACTGCTGCTTGGAGCAATATCAATCTTACTAACACTATTACTACTACTACCTATACATGGAGGAGGAGACAAGCCCAATGATAATGAAGAAGAAGAAGAAGAAGAAGATGATGATGATGAAGCTGCTTTGAGTTCTACTTCCATGGCAGCAACTAATTGTTATGGTCACAATGAAGAAGAAGAAGAAGAAGAAGAAGAAATGGATTGATTGGTGAAGACCATAGCAACAACAATAACAATAACAATGGTGGGTGGTTTCAAGAAAGTGGTTTTTAGCTGTCAAGAATCAGAATCAGAATATGAGAATCAGAAACCCAACCCAACCAAAGGTTTTCAAGATAACAGACAGAAAGAAAGAAATGTGACTGACTATGTGAGGTTTAATTGATTTGAGGAGGAGAAGAAGATCCCTTTTGGATTTAAAAAAAACACACAATAGATAATAAAAAAAATAATAAAAATGATGTTGGAGACAGTGAATTAATGAAAGACTGAATACTGATCTGACAAATAGTTAAATGCAATAGCAACATCTGCCACAAAACTGGTCCACTCCCATTTTTCTATTTCAAATTTAACATATAGTACATACAAATTTTGGAATATTTTAACACAAAAACATAATAGAAACAATTAACTTATACTATTCATATAAACACAAATTTAACTTATTAGCTGTACTACTGTACTATATATGTATAGCTTAATTATTAAATTTATACATGAAGGAGACATAGACATTAGAATAAAACAATTTTTGCACACTCCAATTCCAACTCCATATTTGTAGAACATTCATTCATTAGTAGAATCAAATCAAATCAAACCAAACCAAACCAAACCAAATTCTACTAATTTATGAATTGTAGAAAAGAAAAGTTAAATAGAATCATATTCATATTCCTCTTTCCAAAAATATAAGAATCTGATGCCAATTTCATCTTTCTTCATCTTTCCTAAATTCCTTCACCTTTAGCCTTTTGCTAAAACTAACTATGGCTAGAATAAAGCTTTTTCTGAAGATGCATAGTCCATGAAGTTTAAAGTAATCCATAGGAAGTGTATAAAAGCACAGTTCACAGCAAATTCATTGAATGTAAGCTCGATCGACTAAAGAAGATAGACGAGGGTTCAATAATCGAAAGATTCGCCTTAGGAGATTAATAAGGTAAAAACTTAAAACCAACATCCAGTTGGGATCACAGAAATTCAACAACATCAAAGTGATTCACGCCGCATATCTATCCGGGTACTATATTGGATTCGAGCAAAATCCCAGCCGGCATAACAAAAAATGAACTAATAAAAAATCAGAACATCGAAAGATATAGGAAACTTATCATGATTGACCTATAACTAATTTAAAGATGTTGAAGTATAACGCGTGGAAGAAGAGGTAAAGCATACGCACCGTAATTCCACTCTATACATTCTGTCTTCTCTATGCTCCTCTTATTTGTTTCCCTTTCCTTCGTCCGTGTTCAAGATGCGGTTTCGGAAATCATTCACCATTCGTGGAAGTCCCTCCCGTAGGGAAACTTTCGGCTCCCAGTTGAGAAGTTCTTTTGCTTTGCTGATATCTGGTTTTCTCTTGTGAGGATCATCAGCTGTGTTTGGTCGGAATTCAATTGTTGCACTCGGATCGATTGTTTCTTTAACAACCTATAATTTAACAAAGAATTTATAAGAAAACAACCAACAAATAGACAAACAAATCGAGGAAAGAATATTAACTAGGACAAACCTCAGCTAGCTCTAACATGGTGAATTCTCCGGGATTACCCAAGTTGAATGGGCCCACATGCTCGCCTTCCATCAAAGCCACTAAACCGTCGACCTGATGTATAGAAGCATTTGTAACTACTATGGCAGTGAGGGTAGAAAATATTTGATTCAAAGTGCGGGTTTTTAACACTACAGAGATCAAATGTATGAAACATTTCACGATTTCTACCAATGTTGCTTTTATAGCATGCATTAGGATTAGAGTTGGCAAAAACTGACACGACAATCCCACACAATAATAAACGTATCGGATTATGGTTGAAGCTCTCAACTCAAACCCGACACGACAATCCAATTATAATATATTAATATTAATTAATATATTTATTATATATGTAAAATATTTTTTAATTTAATAATTAGTCTATATTAATTTAAATTAAGTTCAATTTTAAATAATTAACATAATTCATTGTACACATTAAACTAAAACTAATAAATTAACTTAACACAGCAATACGACAAACAATAATTGAATTTGAATTAAGAATTTCGACATAATTATATATAAGAGTCAATACGAACCCGACACGATAATATACGGGTCAACACGAGCTCAACACGATAATAAATGAATCGGATTAGGTTGAGTGATTTGACCAATTTAAAGTATTCAACTCGACACAAATCGACTCATTATCAACTTTAATTAGGATTGAATTTGACCTAAGAATCTTTTAGGATAACGTAAGCATGGTTTTCAATATAGATATGTAAAAACAAAGCCCGTTTCATTTCCACATACCAAGTCGGACACATATTGGAAGCTTCGAGTTTGTTTTCCGTCCCCATAGACTGTCATTGGTTGTTTTCGAATGGCCTACGCAACACATTTATATGCAATCAATAAAGATTCTTGTTGCAAATCGAGACATTTAAATACATAGTTACAGACAAACAAACCTGCGAAACGAAGTTGCTGACAACACGCCCATCATCAAGACACATCCGAGGTCCATACGTATTAAAGATACGTGCAATGCGCACCTATGCAACAAATTAAGTATAATTAAATAGATATAGTCACCACTAAACTAAATCTTGAATGAGACTCGACAAAGTATGGTTTTCAGCACATCTAAATAACCCTAGCAACTTTTTTATGCTTCTCTCTATAAATATCCGACAAAAAAATCTCGAATGTTAATTTCTGCACTATGAACAAAGCCATGAAATTCATGAAGCATCAATTCAGCGAACATTTTACCTCAACACCAGCACCACGATGATAATCCATACTTAAAGTTTCAGCCGTTCTTTTCCCTTCGTCATAGCAGCTACGAACACCTGATCAACTAACTACCTCATCAGTAACATCCAATCAAGACACTACAATCAATGTAGCGAATAAACAATGCCACTAACCAATTGGATTCACATGTCCCCAGTACGTCTCCTTTTGTGGATGCTCAAGAGGATCACCATAAACCTCACTCGTACTGGTAATAAGGAATCTCGCGCCAATTCTTTTCGCAAGCCCCAACATGTTAAGTGTTCCCATCACATTTGTCTTTTAATCACACGTCAAGGACCACAGCTTATCCCAAATCAATAGATTAAAATTCACCCTTCATTAACAACACGTTCGCATAATTTCAAGAATCATAGCCACACAAGCACCGACATTTTAAATAAAATCACTGCTTCTAAACTCCGCCAATTAATAAGTTTGTTTATATAAACACCAAGAAGTTTAAAAACCAGTTATAGATGTTCATTCTATTTGAAACACACATTGCATCGACTAAAACCTATTTTCTATTCGAATCATATTATTCCGCACCTAATTTTCATCCCCTAAACATCAAATCACTGAAAGACTACCAAAAAGACAAGCAGAAACTTCTTTCGAAAGAACACAAAGCTCCAACTATAATAGTCTACATCAACACACCAAAACAAGGAAGCATATAGCAGATAACACAGAATGTTCTAAGCAAAGATTAGGCTTCAAATGCGGACATAAACAACATAAGCAAACAAGGATATGATAGTCTTGACAGGATTGTACTTATAATGCACAGGCGATGCAGGGCAAGCCAAATGGTAGATCTGATCTACCTCCAACAAAATCGGCTCCACGACATCGTGCCTGATCAGCTCAAACCTATGATTCCCAAACAAATGCACTACATTCTCCTTCCTCCCCGTAAAGAAATTATCAATCACGATCACATCATCCCCTCTGTCGATCAATTTATCCACCAAATGACTCCCGACGAATCCAGCACCGCCTGTAACCACAATTCTCTTCCTCTTACTCGAAATCCCCACAGGCACCCGCCCAACCCCATGCGAATACCTATTGTACACTTTATCGTTGATAAAATTCTCGGAATCCCGCAGCAAATCGTCGCGATGGCTATCGCGATACTCCATTAATTCCTCGCGGTTCCCCGCCCAAGCGCGGGGCGGCGGATCGGAGGAGGACGACACAATCGAAAGCGATGGATGGATGACGAAAAACGCGGATCCGATGAGAATTCCGACGAGGATGAAGAGGAGGCGCTGCTCGCGGAGGATGTAATTGATGGATCTAGGGAGCGATCGCGGAGGCTTACCGGATTTCGGAGAGTAATTGGACGATTGGGAGAAGGGCAGACTGGAGGACTGCTTGTGCAATTGCTTCATGGCTGGAATTGTGGCAATGGAACTGTAACTGTCGATAATTATTGTTGCAGGCGCAGACGGTACGCTAGATCGCCATAGTTGAGCAGATTGCTTCCATTTCCATCACTGGCTACGAATTTATATACACACCTGCAAATGCAAATGCTACCTGCACTTCGGTTGGATCCAAGTCGAATGGGAGAAGACGCTTCAATCTTACGTATAAAAGGGACTTCTTTGATTTGGTGTCCAAATTATTCCCGTCAACGACGGGGGAAGCCATTGTAATAACTGGGTCGGCCCAATATGTATTATTGGGCCCGACTTCCACCCAATATGGCCCAATAAAAATAGTTGGGCCACATCGCCACAATTCAGGCCCATAAAAAGATCTTGGGCCTTATGGGTAATATTGAGAATAATTGGTGGGCCTATTGTCTATAAGCCCAAATATTGGCCCAATTCATGTAAGGGTTTAGATAACAGAAGGATAAAACCAACTTCTTCTTCTTCTTTTATTTATTTACTTATTATTATTTTATAAAGTTTTTATAAAGTATATATTTTTAAAATTGTATTAAATGCATTTATTATTGTTTTTTAAATGTAAACCATCTTATTCAAGATATATCTTTTATTCAAAATATTATGGGTCTATTTTTTTATAGTTTTATTATTATTTTTTAAAATATGTATCTATTAGGATTTTCAATAAAATAAATAATTTTTAAATAGAATATTATAGTGAAATTAAATTTAAAATAGAATAAACTTCATGAATCTATTTACTTTGATTTTTTTTTTCAAAATTCTTATTATATAATTATCACTAATCACTAATATATATATATTTGACAATGTTACTATTTTTTATTTTTGTCAGTCTCAAAATAAAGTTATTATTTTTTAATTTAGTAATTGTACTATTTACTTAATATAATAAATATCATTTCAATTAAAAATATATTTGACAAATATCATTATTTTTATATTACACCGTAATAATAGGGGTATTTTTATTATTTTACTACAATCTAATATAATACTAATATTTAAAAATTTACGTGTAAAAAGCAAACGTCAATCTTATAATGTGACGGAATGTGAAGGAGGGTTTACAGAACAGAAGGATAAAACCAACTTCTTTCTTCTTCTTTTATTTATTTATTTATTACTTATTTTATAAATTTTTTTATAAAGTATATATTTTTAAAAATGTATTAAATACATTTATTATTGGTTTTTAAATGTAAACCATCTTATTCAATATATATCTTTTATTCAAAATATTATGGGTCTTTTTTTTGTAGTGTTTTTTTTTTTTTAATATGTATCTATTAGGATTTTTAATAAAATATTCTCCTTTCTCCTATTTGAAAGAGATTTTTGGGGTTTTGTAGTATATTAATAAATAATAGTATTTTTTTATTCACTAGTGAAAGTATGTACGAGGTTTTGATATTTTTATCTTTTAATTTTATGTATAAAATAATTGTATGTGTAATGATATAATTGTAATTTAAACAAAAGTTAAGAGTGTTTTAATATTAGTGTATGTTACTTTAATTTTAAAAGTAAATAAATAGTTTTGAATGAGATATAAAAAGTAGTAAAATTAGTACTTTGAATTGAGACGGATGAAATATTATTATTTTTTAATAAAATATTACATTGAAATTAAATTTAAATAAAATAAACTTCATGAATCTATTTATTTAATTTTTTTAAAATTTTATTATATAATTATCCCTAATCACCAATAATATTTTTTTATCATAAAAATATTACATTTAATTATTATTTAAATATAAAATTAAAAAGTACAAAGCCCATTTGTGTGTTATTAATTACTAGGTATTATATATATATATATATATATCTTTATTATTCAATATATTAATAATTACTTTTACATAGAAATAAGTAAAATACAAATTTATTTAGTTTGTATTTCAAACACAAATGAACACTAATCAACTCATATGATTTATGATAAAAATATGCTATTTTTTTTTTTAAAAAAAATATATTATATTAAAATACTATTTAAGTTATGACTCAAATTATAAACCTAATTTCATATAATTTTCTTTTTTAGAATCCACATTAAAAAAATAATAATAAAATAAAAAATAAAATTCAAAGCATAAAACAAGCAAATGGTTATATATACTATCTTTTAGTTTTCAAGAATATTTTGTTTTGGTTGAATGTATAAACTAGTGGGTAAACGTGTTTGACATTACATACACCTCCGAGTAGACTAATTAAAGCACTACGAATACCAATTTGCTTAATTAGATTAATAATATCGATTTTTTACTAGTATTAGTTATTTATGTTAGGCTATTCTGAATTTAAAAATATTTACATTTTTTATATTTAAATATGGTATTTTGAATTTTTAAAATAAAGTTAAAATATTATAGTAGTAGTTTTCTGAATAAAGTTGGTTTGTTTGGTTTTTTATTTCGGTTTGTGGCTTTTATTTTTATTTAAATAATATTTTAATACTATATTTTGTAAAAAAACAATATATTTTTAGGCAAAATTGTTTATTATCTTCGTTTGAAAAGTTGACATCATACTCCTTCGTAGTTTAGAATTTGTACAAATCTCTCTCGTATTTAAAAAAAATATTGCACGGAATCTTCTAAAAATTGCATGAAACTTCTTGCGTATTTCTAAAAATATTGAATAAAATTCCCTAAAAAATAATCTTTTTACAATTTTATAAAAATCTTGCAAAGAGTTTGATATAATTTTAAAATCAAAAGTGATAATGGTGCAAACTTTTCAAATCACAATTCAATAATTTTATTATATTTTTATTAAAATCGTATAACTTAAATAGTACTCCCTCCGTCACTGTATTTTAGGAGGGGTGTAATTAGTAGATAATTAAAAATGTATTAGTGAAAATAATTATTCGATAATATAAATAATTATAAATTAAGATTAAAATAACTAATTGGTTTAATTAAAATTTTTTTTAAAAAATAAAACTAAAAAGTTTAAAATGAGATTAAAGTGTGTAATCATTTTCCAAAAAAGGAAAGTGACATAGTATGTGGGACAGATAGAAACGGCAAGGTGGATGAAATAAATTTGAAATCATAACTAAATATTCTATAGTGCAAAATTATGAATAAAAACCACACAAGTATTCTCTATATATGAATATCTTCATTCAATTATTTAATTTGAATGTGTTTTTTTTTTTTTTTTTTGAATATTTCGGAGCATTTTTGAATTAATTTATTTTTTTGATAAAAAATAAATGAAAATACTCTTATTATCATTATTATTATTATTATTATTATTATTATTATTATTTTATGGCACAAATAGTCCTTTAGGCATGGCTCCGTCATGGCTGACTGGAGATTATGATAAATTATTTTATAATAAAAAAAAATAAAAAATTATAAAAAAATTTGTTAAAGAGTTAAAAAATAAATAAATAAATAAATAAATAGTAGTAAAATTATTGTTCTTCGTAAAAAGTACAATAACAATTTCAACTTTTTTTTTTTTTCAATATTCTATAATGATTGGTAACACTCATTGTTAATGGGGGGCAAGAAGTCCTAAAACGGCCGAAAAATTGTACGATATATGAAGAAAAATAATTTGTATATTAAAATTAAAGTTGGCATTTTATTAATATTTTATTTTATTTTATTGAAGGCTTATTGAAACTCCTCTTATGTTACGCTATCTATGTACGCGGTGATACGAAAGATCACGTTTGTATGAAAGTCATTATAATTGTTATTACATGTCTTTTCAATTCAATTAATTATAGTAATATATACCAAACACAATAAATTTAATTTAAAATTATACATGTCATATATATATATATCAGATAATTTTGATACTATATATTTAATTATGGATGTATTCTTTTGGAGTTTAATTTATTAATTTATTTTTACATAAATAATAGTTTCAATGTACTACTTTCTCCGTCCTAAAGCAATAGTCTTATTTTCCACTACTTTTTGCATTAATACACTCACAAAGCAAAAAAGTTTTTTATCCATACTTTTTACCCAGTACCAATATAATATCAATATTCCTTAAATTTCGTGCCCAACCCAATTAAGACTATATTTATGGGACGGAGAGAGTATATATTTTTGGACGGCAGATCATGTACTGATCTGACCAAGTCAGATCAAATTAACACCATACTAACTTGATCAACGGTTAATTTATATATATATATTTAAAAGAATAAATCGTATATTATGATTGCATAGTATTAAAAAAATGAATTCAAACCCCAAAAGACTACATCCTATGTTTTGAGATATTTTTTTTTATTATTTAAATGTTTTAAAATGAAAAATTAGGTTCTATTTGTAAAATTTTTCTAATTCGTTTTGATATGTTGTATTCAACGCCCTATTTTTATTTTTAAATATTAAACCAAATATATGTTTTATTCAATTGTTTACTATTATGAAAAATTGAAATTTTTAAAAATACTTAAATTTTTTTTAAATACACATTTTAGTTTTTTTCAATAAAATAGTATTTTAAATTGAATATATATATTTATATAAGCACACATATATGCATGCCCTACGGTATATATATGTTGCATGGAAGTCAAAATATTCAATATACATATTTAATTGTTGCATGAAATTTTGTTGATTATATATATACATACATAATATTATATTTGGTATATGTTGAGCATAAGTTGTTTAGCAGATATACAAGAACTTTTTCAAGAAGGCCAGCCTGGCGATTATTAATTTAGAATTATTTTGTCCAACTTGATCATTAATTAATAGGAAAATTTTTGGACCATGTCATTTTGATTATATGATTAAACTACTAGAAATATATATATATAAGCTTGAATAATATTGATCTCAATGTTAAAAATGTTTTAAGATACTCCCTCTGTCTCCTATCTATATATCAATTTGCTTTTTGCACGGACTTTTAGAAATATTAGCATTATATTAGAATAAAGTAGAAATAAAAGTAAAAAGACTAAATTAACTCTCTATTAGTATTGTATGATATAAAGGTAATGACATTTTTGTAATATATTATAAATTGGAAGAGTATTTGTAATGTTAGGTAGATAGTACAATTACTAAAAAAAAAAAAAGAAATGAATACTTTGTTACGAGACAGACCAAAATGAAAAAATGGATAGATTGTTAAGGGACGAAGGAGTAT